AGCAACCTCAGAGAACATCAAGGACCCCACATAAATTCTCCTTAGTTCTAGGTTGCTTCTCACCTTTATTTTATTTTTTTTAAATTTATTTTATTTTAATTTAATTTGTATACCACCCTTCTCCCAAAAGGGACTCAATACAAAAGTTAAGATAACCTTGATTAGTTCACGAAGGTTTGAGTTTTCTAGTGGTGTTTTGGGACTATTTACTTGACACTTTCTGGCCATAGAAGGGAATACTTTTTGGTATGACAGACAGATGACTTTTAAAGGTAGTCCTTGACTTACGATTGGTCGCTTAGTGACTATTCAGAGTTATGACGGACCCCCTTAAAGGTACTTATGACCTGGTTCCAAAGTTACTATGGCCTCCTACTCCCCGCAAGTCACATGACTGCCTGTTGGACGCTTGGCAACTGACCTCCTTTTACGACCGTTTGCAGCATCCTAGTCAACTGACTCATGACATTTTTTGCTGAAAACTGACATTTGCTTTCAGTTTGTCAGCAAAAACTGATCCTAATGAACAGTGACTTCGTTTAATGATTGGCGTGCTTGCTTAACAACCATGGCGGTTACCTTAGGACAGCTGTATTCCCTTAACAACTGCTGCAGAAATGGTTGTTAAGATTGGGTCAGTCACTTGGGTGATTTGCTTCACGACCATCATTGACTACCGTAAACTGAGGACTACCTATATAGAGCTGTCTCCATTTTTATTTCAATGCCGAAATAAAAAAAGATATTCCAGCTTTAGAACAGTTTTTCAGTTTGGGCAACTTTTAAGACCTGTGGAGTTCAACTCCCAGGATTCCTCAGCCAGGATGGCTGGCTCACGAATTCTGGGAGTTAAAGTCCACGTCGTTAAAAGAGGCAATAGATGTTCACACCTGTGTCAGCATCTTGTCTGGGGAAACTGGATGAACCTGCTTAAAAAGAAAAGCACACCGTTCTGTGTTTATTAAGAGGCAAATCATATAAAAGGCAAGCCAGGCACAGCACAAAAATGGAAGAAGCCGCCGCCGCCTTAATTAGCTTAAATGAGTATAAAGCATACAAAATCCACTGAGCAGGTGAGGTCTTCCAACAGCCAAGATCCCTTGGGGTCAAGGAATCCGGGCGGTGGCATGATCCGTCCTTCTGCTACACCGGATGGTTCAGTCCTTTTGGGCAAACTTCAAAACACAGCATCCCGCCCATTTGTCACACCAAAGAGCAGGCTTAGTTCTATGAAAAGGTTCCGGATACGAGCCCAACGCTCGAGGCTTCTAGAGAGATTGTGAGTCTTTAGCGTCCAACGTTCTTTTCAAACCTCTGTAGAAGATCCACAGTTACTCAGGTAAAGCCACAACCACAGGATGAAACCAGGCGTTTTTTCTGAATTGATTTCAACCAGCCTCTTTTTTTTTTTCCTCCCAAGAAATTGTGGGAAGAAAAAAAAAAAATCACCGGCCAAGGACGAAGAGCCGTTTACTTTGGCTTACCAAGCAAGAGACGCGTATGCAACGATTCCGATCAAATTTTCTCCGTCTTTCCCCAACAGTCCTGAAATCCGGAGTTTTGAAGGGTCATTTTCCTTGCATTGCTAATCTGCTTTCAGGACCTATTGAGGGTCAGTTACACCTGTGCTAACAATTTACATTAAATAACACACATTTTAAAAACAAAAGCAAAAACATAGGCACACCAAAACTCTAATAAAACACATGTGGATTCCAATTCACCTAAACAATTTACAGAAGTGGATTGAGTACATTTAAAAACAAGAAGGGAACAGAACAAAAACCGGCATCAAACCGCAAACCTGGTCGTAATAAAGACACAATATTTACACAAACCTCGTCTCAAACAGCCAAGAAATTGCTACTGGGTCAGGATGGAAGGACAGTGGGATCAGGAAGCTGGAGAAGAGGAATCAAAGGTTGGGGGGGGGGAGACATCCTTGGGATCTCAACTTCACAACTTGTGGTGACTTGTCCTGCAAAGGAGCCGGCCACAGCCTGGAAGCCCCGATTTGGGATGCCATTACAGCCGGCCGCTCATCTATTCGTGAAGCATTTGCCCCGGGCTCTAATTCAAATAACCGAATGGAAGCAAGAAACAGGCAATCATTTATGGGTGGTGTCTCCAAGCAGAGCCCGGTTTACGATAACTGAGAAGCAAATATCTCTGTAGCTAAAAATTATAAAATCTCACAAACAAGAGATGTTGGGGTCTGCAAATCAAGGAAACGCAGCACAAAATCAGGAACACGGACCCCCCCCCAAAAATCCAACGACACCCAAAACAAAACCCTGCAAACCTTCTTCAGTCTTTTAAAAACCACACGATTAAGTTAATATAAAAATAGACATCTTACACAAATCTGTATAGAGAGGAAAAACACAGGGATGCTTATCAGTGTTGGTGGGAGATAAATAGGATCGGAAGGTATAAAGCCTCAGTCCTTTTTAAATATATTTTTTTCCTGAAACCATGAATACCACTCGGTCTGGGCATCACCGAAAGGACTGCGATGTTGTTCTCCAAGGATGGCAAACACTTGGGGTAACTTGTGGGAAGTGGGGTGATAGGGCTGGTATTTTTTTTTGAAATCTGGGCTCTTTTTGCTGTCTAAATTTGGGGTTTTCCAGTGATTTGTCTCTGGATCTGCTTTAGAAGATCCTGGAGTAGTTTCTCAACCTTGGCAGCTTTAAGGTGTGTGGATTTCAACTCCCAGAATTCCCCCAGTCAGAATTCTGGGAGTTGGAGTCTGCACATCTTAAAGCTGCCAAGGTTGGGGGAAAAAAACCCACTGTCCTACAGAATGAGACCCAGGTATGATAACCAAAGGGCACTGAAGGAGGAATTGTCCATTCTTGCTCATCACTTCTACAAAAAAAAAAAATAATAATCACTTGAGGTGGTTGAAACTCAGCAAGCTTGGCTTAGCGAGACAAGGGCAGCCTCGTAGCAATGGCCAAGAGAGTCTTCCGGGCAGAGAGCACCTGGTGCAGGTGTGAGACAGAGATTTCCCCGGATATCCAAATGGGGATATTTTTATCTCCAAAGAATCTATTTGGATCATTGCATGGGGAAACTTTTAATCCAGGAAAAATCTCTCAGGTGGGAAGTTAAGACTCTCCATTTTTGACCTCTAAGCCAGCGGTCTCCAAACTTGGTGACTTTTAAGAGTTGTGGACTTCAACACCCCAGAATTCCTCATGGTTGGCTGGGGAATTCTGGGAGTTGAAGTCCACAAGTCTTAAAAGTGGCCATGTTTGGAGACCCCTGCTGTAAGCGGATGCACGTTTTTTTCAGCTCAGAGGGGGTTAAGCAAAGGGAATGAATGAATCCAGCAGCAAATGTAAGGGGGACAGGGACTGGATGGCAGGGAGGAAGGGAGGGGTGCATGCCAGCTTCTAGTATGGAAAGAGCTCAGCTGAGCAGGCAGAGAGCAAAGACACTATGAAGATAGTATCCAAATTACAGCATTACGATGCCTTTGGGTGGCCTCTGGAGCAGAGACAGCCCCAACACTGATGGGGGCCTCTTAGGTTCTCAGATTCTGAGCCCCCAAAGCATTGCTCCAGCGTCGGACAAATACTGATAAATGGCCAGGATTCTCGGGGGTGGGGGGGAAGGCAGAGAGGCTCTGACATAGTCAGCTGTGGCTCCTTTGCAGGGTGGGACCCTTTGTCCTGCTGCCCCACCAAGGCCAGCTGGCACCTGGAGAGCTAATCCCAGGCACAAAGCAGGCCGTGCCTGAAATAACCTGGCTCTCTGGCTGCTATTTCCTCATCCTGATTCAGCAGCCAACAAGGAGGAGCAGAGAAGGGAGGAAGATGGGAAGGGATTGTGCAATTCGGCTCCAAATTGCTCTCTGAAGCACAGCTTCTTTCATCTTTTTAAGGGGCCGGGCTGGGGTGAGGTGGGGAGAGGGGGCAATGCCCATTTCCCCTAGTCTCCGTCTGGCTGTTCTGCGATGCGGCCCCTGATGCTGCTTTCCAGTGGGGTTGGGGGAGGAAGAGCAGCTGGGAGATTGTGCCTGCCCTTCCTTGCCCGCCTACCAGTTTGGCCCATCAAAGGAGGAGGAAGGCAGGAGCACGTGCTCCCCCTCAGCCATACCCATCTCCCCTCCGTGGCTGCCCACAGCAGCCTTCTGGCTCTGGTGCCCTCCAGCTGGGGATGATACAGGGTGCAGTTTCTTCCTTCACCCAGTTCTTCCTGGGTGGTACAAGTGGGTTTTTCCGTTGGTACCATTGTAAGGGGGCAGGGAATCAGCCAGGACGGGTGGTGGGTGGGTGGAATGGGCTTTTCCATCACCGGGGTGGGCCTTTCCTTGAAAAATCCCAGCAGGCCAAAGAGCAAGACCATAAGATGGCTCCTGGCACCACTGCTTATTTTAGCCTCATCTTATTCTCGCCTTTCGTTTGGGAGCATCGGGGTGAAAAAACTCAAGATGGGGAATCCGAGTGTGCCACCCAAGCCCTGCCTGCTTGTTAGGTGTGCCAGGTGTAAAAAAGAGGGGTGGGCTTCCCATTGCACAGTCCCAATCCCCTTAGCTTGACTTTTGTGATCGTCCCGTTCTCTTTCTAAGGCCTCAAATAACTTTGGAGGCAAACCAGGAAAGGGAGCAAATTTTCCTCTTTCCCCAGTATATCCAAGGATTATGGGGAAGCCCCCTTGGGGGGGGGCGGGGGAGGGGTAAACAGCCTCTGAACCCCTTTTGCTGTACCCTGAAATTCTCCAGCTGCTTCGACCCAAACTCTGGTCCAATTGCATCTGCCACCCTCCGGACTAATTTTCCTCTAGTGCAGTTCAGTTATTCTGTGGGTCTCTCCAGAAGTTCTTGGTTGCCTGGGTAGAGTTAAATCGTACCTTTCCCTCTTCGGTTTTTGGGGGAAGAGGAAAGACGCGGGAACCCTCAGCGGGATTCAGCTCCCCCAAAACGTGCTTTACAGGCCCCTCCCTCCCCCGTCCAAGCTACCTTCCTAAAAAGCAAAGAGGGGCCGGGCCTGTCAGGTTAAACGGCCCTGAGGAAACGGGCCCTCTTTTATTCTCGTGAAAGGGTGCCGGGCTACCGCCAAGGCCTGCTCTGCAGGCTGCTGCTGCTGAGGGAGCGGGTGGTGAGAGGTGCCGTAGCCGGGTTGGTGCTGGGCAGGTTCTGGTTGCTCTTCACGGCGACGGCTTTGCAATCCCGGGCGGACGATCCGCGGCTGAGACGGCCTAGGGAGAAAGGACCAAGAGGAAGGAAGCGATCAGGGCAACGGGCCCGTCTAGCAGTAGAAGCTGGGTTATGTGACCCCCGGGACACTGCAGCCGTCATAAATACGAGTCAGTCGGCAAGCGTCTCAATTTGGATCATGTGACCATGGAGATACTGCAACGGTCGTAAGTGTGGAAAACGGTCATCAGTCGCTTTTTCCTGTGCTGTCGTAACTTCGAATGGTTGTTAAGCGAACTGTTGTTAAATCAAGGATTATCTGTAGAAATCACCTCTCATTAACAAAGTACCAGGCAGGAGTTAGAAGGCACCACCCTTTTTTTGACACACACACACACACACACACACACACACACACACACACGCACGCACGAACCAGCCAGAGTAACAATCCATTCTGGAGACCCCAGGCTCTCTGCTTTTGTCGCACAATTAAAAAGCCACATTAGGGACACTGCTAATTTTTCTATCTTTTTTTCTGTACCACTTTTCGATCCTGCTCTACGGAGTGGAGAGTTGGGTCTCTGACCAGAAAGCCCTTTGAAGAGACTTAGAAGCATTTGAAATGTGGATTGACGAGCGGCCGTTACCTATAAGCTGGCTTGACAAAATCAGAAAGGAGGAGGGGATAAGCCACCTGGGAAAAGCCAAGGGAAATCATCAAAAGCGTAAAAAAAAAGCAAAAGTTAGAATATTTTGGACATGGGATGCGACACCAGGAAAAATACGGCATCTTTCACTTAATCCTCCAAGGGAAGATTGAAGGCAAAGGAGGTCCAGGCAGAAAAGCAACCTTAATGGCTTCAAAATCTAAGGGACCGGTTTGGATAAAACTCAGCATTTTTCGTGCTGCTGTTGATAAAAATAGGATTGCCAACGTCCGATGACGGATCTGGCACAAGAAGAAGAAGGGGCACTGCAACTGTCATAAAGGAACGACAACAGGGTAGCCTTCCCAAATTGAGCCCTACCCCCATGTACCAGCTACTACCCCGTTTGTTCCATGGCAGTGCTACCTCTGGGTCGATGGGAAGGGCAGCCCCAATCAATGTATGTGCCAGTTGTCTGAAGCTGTTGCAGCTACACACCAGACCGCTCGCCTAGCACTGTAGCCAGGCCTGCCATGAGGGTCTTGTCGAGGGCAATGGGGTGGGTGTGCCAGGACCATTTGTTGAGAACCCTTGACAGCAGCCATGTTATCTGCTCCTGGGTGGGTGGTTGCGTGCGCTCTGAATCAGTTTGTCCTTCATTGTCTTTGGAGATGCTCAGTCGTGCTTTTTCCAAAAGGCAACTGGACTTCCTTGGCTTTTTTTCCTTGAAGACGTGTCGCTTCTCATCCAAGAAGCTTCTTCAGTTCTAATCGAAGATTTTCCAGTTCTTCTTCAGTTAGAACCAAAGAAGCTTCTTGGATGAGAAGCAAAATGTTTTCAGGAAAAACTGAAAAAAACCTGAGAAAGTCCAGGTGCCTTTACGAAAAGTACCTTTGGGACAATGTGTCCTTTTAACGAACAGCCCGGCGTGGCCTGACTGGACTCTATTTAAGCTTAGCGCAAGTTCCCCCCAGATCAGCCTTTCAGGAAGGGGGAGGGGGTTGTCTCTGGCCTTGCGGCTTCTGAAGACAAATGGGGGGAGGGGGGAGAGAATGTCTTACTGGCAGGATCGCTGGGAAGCTGTTCCTCCTGCAGGTAGTACTGTATCTTTTGCAGATCCTCTGCGGTAAACCTCCACTTGTTTTCGGCGGTTTGGGGGAGGGGCGGCTGTGGGGTGGCTTTCTTCCGGGCGTTCCCAGACTGACTGGAGACCAGGCAGGAGGCGGGGAAGGAGCCGGTCACCAGGCCTTCGGGGATCTTCTGAGCAATGACTCGGAGACCTGAGAGAATGGGAGGATAATAAGATGGTAGGAAAGACTCAAAAAATAAAGATAGGTAGGACTGCGGAAAAAAACCATGGCTACCAACCTGCCTTCCATGGAGGACCTGTATACTGCACGAGTCAAAAAGAGGGCTGGGAAAATATCTACAGACCCCTCGCATCCTTGACATAAAGTGTTTCAACTCCTACTCTCAGAACGACACTATAGAGCACTGCACACCAGAACAATTAGACACAAAGACAGTTTTTCCCCGAATGCCATCACTCGGCTAAACAACTACATCTCACAACCCTTGTCTTATGCCCTGGGATGTCAAACCACCTAGTAGGGCTGTATTACTTATTATCCTTCTCATCTTTCCTATTACCTATTTGTGGCTTGTGTCTCATGATTTATGTTGACTGCTTTTATTTAGTATCCTATTATGATTTGTGTTGACTGTTTATTTGGTAGCCTCTGACTATCACTGGGTGTGGTATCTTATGATTTATGATGATTGTATCTTATGATTATGATCATGATTTATCACTTGTTGCTTGTATGTACACTGAGAGCTTCTATACCGGAGACAAATTCCTTGTGTGTCCAATCACACTTGGCCAATAAAGAATTCTATTCTAATTCTAATTCTAATTTTATTTTCTATTCCAATGATGGCGAACCTTTTCGGCACCAAGTGCTTGCTGAAATGGGAGCGCACACGCTCGTGTCTGGGCCGCAACCTGGAAGAGGAGCTGCCCAGGGCGCATGTGTGCACCCGAAAATGAACTTTGGCAAGCTAATGTTCCGGGTTTCTGGTGCACATGCGTGTGTGACTATCAGTTAGCTGGCACTCATGCTCACGCAGGAAAACAGAAGACCAGCTCTTCTTCCAGTTTCCAGCACTGCTGCACACAAAATGGCCAGTTGATTGTCGTGCGCCAGAAACCCAGAAGAGGAATGGGTGATGCCATGGGTGCCAGGCAACATGGCTCCGTGTACCACTTCGGGCACGCGTGCCATAGGTTCGCCATCACGGTTCTATCCTATTATTATTTTCTATTCTATTAATTCTAAGAATTCTAATTCTTTCTCACTCTAAAAAACTCTATCCAATTACAGGGATGGAATGAGAAGAGCCAGTCCCCTAATGCCAACTTCCTCGCCTTTCTCTTCTCTGCTTCAGTGGATCCCAGCTGGGAACGAGGTGGATCCTAAGGCCTCCGAGCCTTCCTACCTCCAGAAAGCATGAACAGATTCTCGAAGCCCCTCTCGCACATGGTGCTGGCTGCTTGGCTGGCCACCCGCTCGTCATCGTCATAAAGGATGATAATCTTCCCGTGAGCATTTTTCTAGGGGGTGGAGGGGGTTAAGGATCCAAAGCTCTGTGGGGGTTGTGGCCCGTACGCGGCCTGTGCAGCTACTAGCTGATTCTGACAGTGAGGAGGCTGGTGTGGTGCTGCACCAGCAGCCTGTGCAGCTGGCACCCGAGTCAGACAAGGAGGAGGCTGGAGAAGATGTGGTGCCAGAGGCGGGGATTCAGCCAGGGCCTTCAGAACCTCCCATAAGTGAAGAGGAGGAAGAGGAAGAGCCTCTTCTCAATGCACAAGTGCCCAGAGCTGTTAAAAGGCAGGAGTGGCTCCTCAGGAGGAGGTCTCCTCGAGAGTAAGGCTTGGGGCTAATTGGCCACTCCCCTAGCCTATTTAAGAAAGGATGACGACTAATGCAATTTGCAGGAAACAACTTCGTTCACATTCCTTCGTGTCTTGATTCCAGAAACGTTTGATTCGGCTCTTGTTTCTCGTCAGTTTTCCTGCAAATTGCTTCTGGGCATTCTGCCAACCACAGTAAGATGACGGTTATCTGAAATACTGTGCCTCAGAATTGAGTTATTATTCTTTGGATTCTTATCGGCTGTTAATGAAGTTAAATGAACAGCCCTTGTTCAGAAAAGACTGATTTAAACTGTACATGTGTTCGAACAACTACTAAGAAAGCTCATTAGTAGTCTTTAATAAGTAAACTAAGGTTTGTACGGATTTTGTGTGTGCTGCGTTCTTTGGGGTCCGTAGCTGGGGCAGAACAGTGGGGAGAAGAGAGAGATGGAGAAGCAGCCTTCCCCCAGTCCTCCTCCCTCTGTTTCTGTGAGGTCCTTGGCGCACTCTGAGCTTGGTTGTTTTCTTGCAGACGTTTCATGACCCAGCTAGGGAACATCTTCACTTCATAAAGGATACGTATTCCAAAATGCTGTTGGTGTAGGGATTCATCGTTCGGGAGAGAGTAGCGATGGGATAGGAGTGAGCTGAAAGGAAAGACAAATAGGCTAGAAAAAGGCACAAAGGAACCTGGGTCAAATAACAGAGGACGAGTCCACAGCAATAGGTTCTTATACAGAAATGGAGGCCGAGCTTCTACAGCAGGGCTCTCCAAACTTGGCAACTTTAAGACTTGTGGACTTCAAACTCCCAGAATTCCTCAGCCAGCTGAGAGTTCTAACAAGGGGCTGAGCAGCCTGTTCAGTCGGGATTGCAGTGTCCCGTTGCAGGGAGGGCTGCCCCTTCTGTCCTCCCACAAAGTGGCCCCGCGGGGACACAGTGAGCAGTTCCTACGCCTTTTGTTCTGACCCAGCCTTCGCAAGTAGTGATAAGCGAGTAAAACAAATCCCTTTTTATAACAAGGCAGTAACAGTCTTTTATTCACGTGGATAAACAAAAAATCTAACGTAATTAGTCCCAAGAAAAACTGGTTCTCGCCAAGGAATCCAAATTGTTTGGTGTATACTAGAAAATGAATGGTTTTCTCTGACAATTGGCCCCTCCCAAACTCCTGCTATTTATTTCCCACCCAGGGAGGGGCTGGCTAGCGTCTACTTTTGCTTTTCCCTGAGAGCTGGCTTATTGCTTTCCTTTGCTCTCCTCTCCTCTCCTGTGCATCTGGGATGGGCCCCATCTGTTCCTCTCGCTCAACTCAGCTCAGGCCCCCAAGACAGCAGCCTCTCCATCTGGTGGAGGACGGAACGCCGGCTCTGCCTCTGCCGCTGATTCAGAGCCTTCCAACGGCTCCAAAGGCGGCCCAGGCCCTCCCTCAACCTCCTCCTCGTCTGACTCTGCTAGCTCTGCTGGCAGCCAACGGGCCACAACACCTCTGTCTCACCTCCCACAAGGTGGCACTGGTCATAGGCATCTCGCTCTCGCACGTCCAGCAGCAGATAAGGGCAGTCGGGATAAGGTCCGTTGTTGGGAACCGTCCCCTCCGTCTCCTTGGGGTCGCCTTTTCCCAGGTCCAGCTCACCTACCCCACTGATGACGCTGGGAGAAAGAAGAAACGTTATGAACCCTGGAATAAGGTTTCCTTGCTGGGTCTAAACTGCTGGCTTCTACAGCTATCGGTATCGGAGAGAAAGTCTCTCAGGTGGTCAGCAGAGAGGAGAAAGACCCCCCCCCCAAATCATAGGTGTTGGAGATTCTCACACCCCAAGGGCTGAGAATTTGGGCCTGTAGAGATTCTACAACCATCCAGGTCATGGTTGTCCCAAAGGTGCTTTTTCAGATGGCAACTGGACTTTCTGGGGGTTTTTTCCTTTTGAAGACGTTTTTGCTAGGTAACATCGCCAGTGCTAGAAGGGAGCGGGGTTTGCGGAGAGGAGGAGGAGGACAAAACTCATTTAACAACTGTCTTGCTTAGCAACAGAAATGTTGGGTCCAATTGTGGCCATAAGTTGAGGACTACCTTGTACTGTCAATCTCTCTCTTCTAACTGGGTTTTGCCTAAGAACTGAGCCATCAAGGAAATACACATGCGGAGAGGAGATGAGAGAGGGAAGGGGAGAGAGGGAGGGGAGGGGAGGGGAGAGAGACCTCTGCATATCGGATACCTCTGTAAGGTGGAGCGATAGGACTCTCCAGCTCCGGTGTTGTTGATGAACAAGATGGGACTGGCTGGTTTCTCTTCAGGGCTGCCTTTGCCGTTGGTCTCTGCTATCTCGAGACTGGTCTCTGCAGGAGCCGCGTCGCCTTCTGAAAAGGGGGCAAGTGAAAGTGCGGTACGTAACTCTCGGGGCTCACAACGAGAGGCTGGAAGCACCCCCAAGGCCCATCTCAGTTTGCTCCTCCCAGGAGGATTCTGTGGAGGGCTCGCAAGCAGGAGTCGGTGGCCCTCTCTTTCCCCACCACTGTCTCCTTGCCACAGGAATCCCTGGATCCAAAGATGAATATGGAGTCTTCAAGACTAATGGCCTTGAAATGCATCCGGGTTTTTAATATATTTATTGGTATCCCACCATTATTATTATTATTTTTATTATTATTATTTTTATTATTATTATTTTTATTATTATTATTATTATTATTATTATTATTATTATTATTAATTATTTTTATTATTTACAAAACTCAAGAACATATCCATCACAGCTTCCTCTTCCTATTTTCCCAACAACAAAACAACCCTGAGAGGTGGATTGTGCTGGGAAAGAGAGACTGGCTCAAAGTCACCTACTTGTCTTTTATGCCTAAATCGGAATTAGAACTCACAGCCTCCTGGTGATTGGCCCAAAATCACCCAGCCAGCTTTTGAGACAGGATTAGAACTCATAGGTTCCTGTTGATTGGGCAAGAGTCACCTAGCTGGCTTTCATATCTGCAGGACTAGAATTCAGTCTTCTGGGGGAGACTTTGTGGTCCAAAGTAACCCAGCTAGTAACTTTGGCACCTAAGGCGGGATTAGAACTCATTGTCTCTTGGTGACTGGTCCAAAGTCACCCAACTAGCATTTGTGCCTAAGGCAGGACTAGAGTTCACAGCCTCCTGGTTTTTAGCCTGATGTCTTAAACCAGTAAACCAATTGGCTGCCCCCATTCAGATATTATATCAATTGTTACATAGGCATCTGATAAGAGGCAGAGCAGAGGTTTTGCATACAGAGAATCCCATTTAAAAATCCCCCCAAGTTCCATAGAGGGACTCAGATGTGTCTCTGGCTTCAGGATGCAAAGCAACCATTTTGTATATCTAATCAATGTATGTAGCTGTTGCTTGACATGCAACCCAGAATGGGATAGAGGTGAAACACAGAACAGTACCAAAATAAAGTAGCACAATATAGATGAATAATTGTTAAATGTTTGTGTGCTTTATCTTGCTGTAAGCTGTTCGGAGTCGCTTTGAACTACAAGACGGGCAGCAATTAAATTAGATAGATAGATAGATAGATAGATAGATAGATAGAGACAGACAGAGAAAGAAAGAAAGAAAGAAAGAAAGAAAGAAAGAAAGAAAGAGAAGAAGAAAAGTAAGAAAGACAGAAAGCTTCTAGTCAATCCCTTCCCATTATAGGAATTTAAAATAACATGAATTTAATTTCTAAGCCGCCTTGTGACGAGATGGGCAGCAAACAAATTTAATAAATAAATAAATACCATCTAGTTTTTGGCCTTCTTCAGGTGGCCCTTTCAAGGTTTCATCCGACAGAGTGGCAACCTGAATCACCTGCAGGAGAAAGAAAGGGCAGAATCAGCCTAGCTCTAGTTACACAGGGGTGTCAAACTGACGACCCATGGGCCAGATGAGTCGTGTGCGGACCACGCCCACCTCAGCTCTGAGGGAAAAAAAATGTCATGAAACGTCACGTGACGGCAACATGGCACCGCGAGTTTGACACCTGTGGCCTAATACAATGTTTCTCAGTCGTGACAACTTTTAAGGTGTGTGGACCCCAAGTCCCAAAATTCCCCAATTAACGACATTAAGAGTGCTTGTCTCTTTAGCAACAGCAATAGACTTACTGAACCTTCTGCTGCTTAATCAAATGTTTCTCAAGTGAGGGTGTTTTTAAGGTGTCTGGACTTCAACTCCCAGAATTCTGGATTGGGGGGGTGGGGTGGGGATGCTGGCTGGAGAATTCTGGGGGTTGAAGTCCAGACAATGTAAGGGTTGAGAAACGCTGCTGTAGAAGTTGCAGGCGGACAGAGCCCACTCCCCACCCGGTTTCTGAACAGACCCCACTCAGCCCCCCTGAGATGGCCAGAGCTGGAAGGGAGGGGAGCATTTAATATTCATGGACAAAACCAGGAACATACCAGTTGGGCAAATGTAGACACTTTTAGCCTCTTGAAGAGCTCATCTTTCTTGTATCTGTAATCTGCAAAACAAAGAGGAGCATTTGGTTAATCAACTCAGTGGAGGACCCAGCTTTTCATTTCAAAAAACCTGGAATTTCCAGATAGTTCACGCACTGTTTCAGGCACAGGTCACCAGGAACAGGAGCTGAGTTCAAAACACTCCAGGTTTATTACATGCTACCTGTACACAAGTATCTGATTTGCTGATGGTCAAGCCAAATTGGTGCTAGAAAAGGGTCAAGGGAATTCATGAGGGGCTGGACTTGGGTCTCTTATGGGAACGCAGTGACTCCAAACTGATGATGCATTTGACCCTATCCTCTCGGGCTCTGCCTGCTTATCTTCTACAATCAGGGTCTCCAAAGTGGCCACTTTAATAAGACTTCTGGACTTCAACTCCCAGAATTCCCCAACCAGCCATACATGGAATTCTGGGAATTGAAGTCCACAAGTCTTATTAAAACTGCCAGGTTTGGAGACCCCTGTCCCACATCGTGAGCTGCCCAGAGTTGTTTTAACGGGGTGGCCATGTAGATCTTTCAAATAAATCAGCAACTAAAATCCAGTTCACACGCTATATTTTTCTCTGTTTCGCTTTTTGAAATACGTACAATTCATGGAAGTGAACTTCAGCCCAATTTGAGATCTGCCATGACAAATTCTTTATGTCTGTAACCTCGACTCAGTTCTCCAGTTTAAGAAAACTCTACACCACAGCTGTCATTTGAAAGTGCAGCTGTGTCTTCAGTAGGAGAGCATCTAGTTTTCTTTGTGTATTATTGATTTATTTTATTTATTTCGGTTATATATTGCCTTTATTATTTTTATAAACAAGTCAAGGTGGAAAACTTATCAACAGGGTGACTTTGGGCCCCATCTCACTGTCAGTCCAGCTCCCCTCACAGGGTTATTGTGGTAAAAATAGGAAGAAGGAAGGCAGGAAGCTGGGTTTCAGGGCTAAGGCAGGACTAGAACTCCCTGTCTCCTGGTGATTGGCTTGAAGACACCCAGCCAGCTCTCATTTCTAAGGCAGGACTAGAACTCACCATCTCCTGGTGATTAGCCCAAAGTTACCCAATGGACTTTCACGCCTAAAGCAAGACTAGAACTCACCATCTCCTGGTGCTTGACCCAAAGTCACCCAGCCAGCCAGCTCTCATTTCTAAGGTGGGACTAGAACTCATCGTCTCCCGGTTTCTAGCATCTGTCTTCACCACTAGACCAAACTGGCTCTCAATTTCATCCATTTGAAGCAACCTTGATAGCATGAGTGTCCAACCTTGACAACTTTAAGTCCCGTGGACTTCAACTCTTGTGTATGGCTGGCTGGGGAATTCTGGGAGTTGAAGTTCACAGTTCCTAAAGTTGCCAGGTTGGACACCTCTGCTTTCAATCTCTTTTAAAGGGTTTCTCCCCATTGCACAATTTAGCATGTGCCAAGCCCTCCCTAGGCTGACAAGCGAAGGCTTGATGAATAGGAATGATAAGAATTCCAGATAATATGAGCAAAGAAAAGAAGAAGAATTACTTGACTTATTACAGAAATGGATTTTGGCACTATTTACAAAAAAATCTTTCATCACCTGACACTAGACTAGCCTGAAAACAAGGATGATTTCCCATCAAAATCAGACCAACAACAATAATTTATTTATTTAGTGTATAGTTTAAATAAAGTGTCAGCAAATATATATATATATGTGGACAATCAGACCAAGATATCTTACTGCTAAAAGTCCCATAAAAAATGCAAGCAAGCAAGCAACCACAATGATACATTTAGCAATAGCTTCCTGACTAATCACATATAAATTTTGCACCTTTGGATCCAATATTCTAGCAACAATCATCTATGTCTCCCAAATCTGAGACTTTCCTGAGACGCCCGCTACAACAGCCATCACCCCAGCAGCCCAAAAATCACAGTTCCTCCCAAGTCCCCAGCGCAGTCTACCTGGAGCTGATTCAGAAGATCCGTTTGAGTTTTCAGACATTTTAAATCCAAGATGCAACGCCGTTTTTTTTTTTTTTTTAAAAAATCCTTTCAGATCGGCGGGAATGCCGGTTTTGCAAAAGAGAAATAACGTCGGCTTGTTCTTTCTTGGTTCTGTATGTCAGAGAGGCAAGTGAGGATGGCACCTGTGGGCGCCTCGGTTTTGATTTTCCAGCCTTTTTTACGACTTGACTCAAGTTACAGAAGGAAGACAGAAGCAACCCTGTGTGGGCTTTTCAGATTGCCTCGCACAGTCTCATATATCCCTGAGAAAGCTCAGTTACCTAAAGCCACACACAAGGTGCTCATTCACTCAAAGGGCACACTTTGCCACCTAAGCAGAGTTGAAGCACAATGCAAGGCTAAGAGAAAAGGCACACCAGGAGTGCGGAGTAGAGAGTTCAAAGCAAAAACAAAAAACGGATAGAAACACAGCAAGGATTGTGACAGTGTCACAACAAACCACGGCTAGTGTTTCAGCACTCAAAAGCCCTCCGTTAAAAGGAGGATGTTATGAAACCAGCTCTTTCAGCCAAACGAAGCAGTCAGGATGAACAGCACAGAGGAAGAACATTTAAAAAGAAAAATACACTTAAACGAGGATACCTGAAGTTCTGCCAATATGACACAATAGTTCTAAAATCAAAGTAGGCAGTTTAGAAACCTCTTAAGATGTTTTTTTCAGATTCCATCAGGACCAGCCAACATTGCCGGTGGCAAAAAGACCATAGGAACGGTGCTCGTAACGCCTAGATAGAAAGTACTCAGCGCCCATCCCTGGTTCATTAAGTCGGTTCCCATGCGCAAAACAGACACACCCAAATTCACAATGCAGGAAATGTTAGCATTGTGGAGGAGGGGGTGGGGGTGAATTTTCTAGTTCTAATTAATGAAGGTGTGGCCAGATTATGATACCAAAGCACAGGAGTTAAATTATTGTGGGAAGATGACGGAAAGTTGTAAGATGGGTCTTCATGGCGCTTGTGGAAGCTCAGGAGGAAAGTAAATGAATGAGGGGGAAAGAGCCAATTTGGTGTAGTGGTAAAAGTCCTGGCCTAGAAATCAGGTGATGGTGAGTTCTAGTCCCGCCTTGGGCATGAAAGCTGGCTGAGTGACTTGGGCCAATCATCAGGAGACTGTAAGTTCTAGTCCTACCTTATGCATGTAAGACGCTGGATGACTGTGGGGCAATCACTAGGAGACAGGGAGTTCTAGTCCCGCTTCAGGTATGAAAGCCAGCTGGATGACTTTGGACCAATCACCAGGAGACAGGGAGTTCTAGTCTCACCTTAATCACAAAAGCCGGCTGGGTGACTTGGGCCAATCACTCTCTTTCAGTCCAACTCACCTCACATAGTTGTTGTGATGGGGAAAATAGAAGGATGAAAGGGCATTAGGTATGTTCACCTCCTTCAGTTACTTATAAAGTAAAAAAGGTTGGATAAAATTCTAATAAATGAATAAAAATAAAAATAAAAAGTGTCTTTTTTGTGAATGTTCCACCAGTGCTTCCAAACTCCCAAGCAATTTGTAAATCAGTGGCCATGCTGGCTGGGGCATTCCACACATTTTAAAGTTGCTAAGTTTGAGGAACACTGGAATAGTCAGTGACCCCGTGATCATAGAGCTGATTTTAGACATTTGAGTTCTTGTTACGGTACTCACTTCTCTTGATCTCTTCTAGTTTTTCAGTGTACTTGGTCATACTGCTACCTGTGGAAGAAAAGACACTCAGTAAGGCACTTAGGAAAGAGATGACAATCTTTACCAAAAACTCAGCTCAGCCATCTGTTTTTATTCCAAATCATTTATGTGTAATTAACAGGATTAGCAGGGCTGGAAAATCAGAAATATCCTCAGAACTGCCGAGTCTGGCTTTGGGTGCTTTGAAATATGTATTTATTTCTCGCATATTCCTCTCCAAAGTCCTCTGAAGACTTTTTTTCCCTTGCCTATTTTTGTCCTCTCAAGAATAGATTATGTTAATAAGGCTAAGAAAAGAAAGCCGGCTTCAGGATTGGGCTTGTAAGCAGGTTATTTATTTTGCCAGGCGCACGCAGGAACCAATCGATATTTATTCGGTCAATGACCAGCAAAAATTATGATATTACCTAGTTGGATCATGAAATGTCTGCAAGAAAACAACCAAGCTGAGAGAGCACCAAGGACCCCACAGTTGTCAATGTTGCTGTTGTTGTCTTCCTGCCTCCCCTCCAGCATTGATGTTGTTACCTAGTTGGGTAATTAAATGTAGGAAAACCACCACCAACTCAGAAAGCACCATGGACTTCACAGTCTTCCTCCTTCTCCACTTTGCACGCTCCACTCCCTTCTAGAATTGATGATGTTACCTAGCTGGATAATGAAATGTCTCCAGTAAAGGAGTATATGAGGGGTCCTTGGTGCTCTAAAAGCTTGGCTGTTTTCCTGCAGATGTTTCATTGCCCAAATGAGGTAACATCATCAGGGCAAGCCATTAAAAATATAAAGTGAGAGCAAATCCCACTCCTTACTAGCACTGATGATGTTACCTAGTTGGGTCAAGAAACGCCTGTAAGAAAAGGTCCGAGCTCATAGAGCACCAAGGACCCCACAGTCAAGGGCAACCCATTCCTGGCAGCCATTGTGGCCCTCATGCTCTGATCTCATAGTGCACACACTCTCTGGGTGAAGTCACAGCTTCTCACACGAAGTTCAGTGCTTGGATTATCAAATGAAAAACTCTTAAGCATTTTGCTGTCCCTTCAAACCTCTCCCCCCACCCCCTCAAAAAAGCAGATTTCAACTTACCGGTGTCAAGGCGAGTTTTTACATGCTGGTATTTAGGATTCTGTGGGATCCTTTTGGTCAAGAACTGCTTACCGGGAGGGGGAGAAAGTGAAAAGAAAACCATCAGATAATTACCCAGGAAGAAGGGAAAAATAGTATGATTGCGATATGCACACAACTTTTGAAAATGAAGACCGCAGAACCACCACACTAAAAGATGCATGATGCTGAAACACTCAAAGTTGATACAAGTAGTCCTTGACTTACAACCATTCTAAGTTACAATGGTGCTGAAAAAAAAAGTGATTTATGACCATGTTCCACACTTACAACCACTGCAAGTGACATAATCAAAATTGGGATGCTTGGCAACTGACTCATAGTTATTTATTTATGACGGTCGCAGTGTCCTGGGGGCCTTTTGCAATATTCTAACAAGCCAAGATTCACCTTACAACTGTGGGACTAACTTAACAGCTACAGTGGTTCACTTAACAACATTGGCAAGAAAGGTCGTAAAATGGGCAACACTCTCTTGCTTAGCAAATGAAATTTGGGGCTCAATTGTAGTCATATGTCAAGGACTACCTGTGTACACTCTCTTTCTCTCTCTCTCTCTCCTGTGTGTGTTTGTGTGTGTGTGTGTATACACACACACACCCCTCAGTTGCATCCTAATATTTTCCTCTTGGGGAAGCAGTATCTGCTGTTCCTCCCCAACGTCTACAATTCCAGCATGTTGAGGAAAAAAAAGAAGAGAAAGCCTATTATGTTTTCACACATTACACTAAGCCATAATCCAATCTGTTTGGTTTCATTTGCCAGGTATTTTTTTTTTATTTTTGATTGGCAACTTTTTTTTTTTTTCCAATGGATTAATTTTATTCACGGGGGAATCCAAATGTATAATGTTGCCTCACAGTGCTCAACTATCTTCTAAACGGGGGAAGCCAGATTCACTTAACTGTGTGATTCACTTAATAGCGGCAGTGATTCACTTAACAACCGCAGCAAAAAAAAGGAAGTTAATAAAATTGTCATGACTCATTTAAAAATCACCTCACTTACCAATGGAAATTTTGCTCCCAACTGTGGCCATAAACTGAGGACTACCTGTATCTAATTGCTCTGGACTTCCTATGTCAATGAAGACTACATCATCCAGGACAAAAGTATCTAAAAGAGATGAAATCATGGCAACTAGACCAAAGTATGTTAATCTGAGACATTTTGTTACTCATCCACGTAATTTCATCAGTCAAAATAAAAAATTATGTAGTTAGGCAGAAAGTCTCTGACTTTGGTCCAGTTGCCATGATTTAACCTTTTTAAGATACTTTGGGCTTAGTGTTGAATAAAACCCTGTTACAATTTGCTTAACAATCCTGATTTCACAATATTTGTGCAAACAAATCAAGCTAAGGGGTTAGACTCAGGGGTAAAATCCAGCAGGTTCTGGAGAACCGGTAGCAGAAATTTTGAGTAGTTCGGAGAACCAGTGGCCCCAGAGTGGAGTGGGAATGGAGATTTTGCAATATCCTTCCCCTGCCACGCCCACCAAGCCACACCACACCCACCAAGCCACCAGTAGTAAAAAAATTAGAATTCCACCACTGGAGACTACATTGCTAAACTTGGTTAGTTCTAATCCTTTTTGTGTGTGTGTAGCTAATATGTTGTATAAAGCTGTATATTTGGTTAAATTTTGGCTCAGTATATTGCATCAACTAAAAAACTGGTTATTTGAGTTAATCTAGTGTGTTTCTTGATGCCAATCAGCATGCATAAAAGGCATTCCCAGAAAGAGGAAAACTGTAATTTCAGGGCCTCTCACAGGGAGATACCTGGCCTCATGCCACCTATACTAACTTGGTACTACCCTGCCAAATGTATTACTACAGCCGTGGGAACTAAATTTCAACATATTTCAAGCAAACCAGGTTAGTCTACTTTCTGCTTAAGAATTTCAATTTCAGGAATGTCTACCACCATCCAATTTCTGGAGGACAGAATTCACAGATGAATTAAATAATTAATAAAAAGGAGTCGTGAAGGTGCTTTCTTTTTTTCTTCAAAAGGCAACTGGACTTGCTGGTTTTTCTTTGAAGACATTTTGCTTCCCATCCAAGAAGCTTCTTCAGCTCTGACTGGACGGTGGGGAAGGGAAGGATTAATCCTTCTTGTAGACAGCTGGTCATTTGCAGCCATTTTAGAGAGCCGTTGAGGCCACTTGGAGGTTTATCTCTGTCCTCCCTCCAAGTGGCCTCAACGACTCTCTAAAATGGCTGCAAGTGACCAGGTGACTCAAAGTCAGGCTCTCCAGCCCAAATAGCTGAGCTGCAGGATCTAAGGAGCTTCTACTCTTCAAGGAGAACATTTGTAGCTCAGGGTTGACATGCTGCTCTATGAGCTTGCTTGTTTTTTTGCAGACGTTTCGTGACCCAACTAGGTAACATCATCAGTGCTACTAAGGAGTGTGGTTTGCTGTCAGTTTATATTCTGGTGGCTTGCCCTTTCAGTGTTGGTGTGAGTCATCTTAGAGGTTCCTTGGTTGGGCTGTTTACTGTTGGCTCTTTGGCAGTTTCTTGATTGTGATTGTGGGTGTGATGTTAACCTTGGAGTTAATGTCGCAAAGGTGCTTTTTTTCTTCCAAAAGGCAACTGGTTTTTCGTTGAAGACGTTTCGCTTCTCATCCAAGAAGCTTCTTCAGCTTCTGACAAGCAAAGTCACCGGGGGGGAAGCCAGATTCACTTAACAACCAGGTTACTCACTTATCAACTGCCGCCATTCACTTCACAACTGTGGCAAGAGAGGTCGTAAAATGGTCGCAAAACCCACTCAACGAATATTTTACTTAACAACGGAAATCTGGATGTTCTGCTTCGGAGACCACAAAGCCCCCACCCACTCACGAGCGTGTTTTTTTGCGTCCGAAGTTATGCCGGCATGTTAAACTGACGTATGAGCAGTCCTCGCACTTAACGACTGTCGCAGCATCCCGACAGTGATCAAAATTCAGACTCTTGTCGACCGATTCACATTTATGACCGTTGCAGCGTCTCGGGGGTGATGTGATCCCCTTTTGCGACTTTCCGACAGGTAAAGTCAATGGGGTCATTAAGTGAATCTCTCTCCCCCCCACACACTGACTTTGCTTGTCTGAAGCAGTTGCCAAGCGTCCAAAATTCAACCCTGCAAATGTGGGGATGCAGCAACGGTCATAAGTGCGAGGACCGAGGCTCCTAAGTCCCATTTCACAGTGCCGATGTAACTTCGAACACCCAGGATTTACCTGTATTCCTCCTCCTCCCCCCCCTCTTCATCCAGGGAGGCTCTTTTGAGTGATTTGGAGCCGGTCCCTCTCAACCCGGCCTACCTCGCAGGGTTGTTGTAATGGCAAAGAAAGCCAGGGGCGCTACTTATGGGCCTGAAGCCCCTAGAAATGGGCTAAATAGAGCCATATTTATATAAAAAAGCCCAATAATAGTTGTTTTAAATCCCAATCCCGATTTTTTGCGCTAAATTCCGATTTTTCTGGCTGAGTTTATTGCCGCCCCCCCATTCAGAAGCACTAGAAACGCATAAATATAAGAAAAGGGGCCCAATGTTTGATTGACAGCCCCCTCACCGACTCCCTCAGGATACTGGGGACCCCCCCCACAGCGACGAGGCCTGAGGGAGGGGGCTTCTCTAGGGCCTCTTCAGGGCCTTCCCGGTTTGGGGGACCCCCTCAGACCTCCCCCCCCTTAAACCCGGGGTCACGTGCCTCCTCCCCCGCCCTCTGGAAAACCCCCTCACGACCCTCACCGGCGGCCCCCCCATTTCACCTCAGGGTCGCCGATGCGCCTCCTCGCCGACATCCTGCCCAACTGTCAGCCTCGCGCACGTCCCGCCCCTCCGCCGGGCCCGCGCGCCCTCGCCAAGCCAATCCGCACCGCCCTTCAGACCATCCCTCTCTTCCGATTGGTCGGTCCCCGCGCCCATCCGCGCTCTCTCCTCCCCCTCCTTCCGAGCGCTGTTGCCAAGTCGGTCGCCGCCCCCCCCCGCACGCCCGCGGATTTTAAAAGTCCCGGTTCGGCTTTCTCTTTTCGCGCGTGCGCGTTGCGGCCCACGAGGCTCAAGGCGAGCGTCGGCGGTTTCCCCGGGTGACGAGAGACGCCTCCGCGCGCCTTGGTTCGGTTTTTTTTTTTTTTTTAATAATGTTTTGGGTTCCTTTCCGAGCGGCGCTGAGGCGGGATTGTGACGTAACAGGGGCTCTGGAGACGCTTCACCGCGGTGTCCTTCCGCTGAGGGGGTCTGCACGGGAGGGGCGGGGCTCGGAGGAGAAGAAGTAGTGCCTTTGTTCCAACACGCGTTTTCCTCCTTTCTGCGCTCACACGTGTTCTGTGGGGTGCAGCTCACCCGCGTGGCTGCATTCAAAACTCGAGAGGACCTTGATGTTTTCCCCTTAAATGGTCTCCACATGTATGGGCTGCTCATTCTGGGATTTGGAATCCCAAAGTTTGTGTGTGTTTTGTGGTTGTGTGTGTATGTGGTTGTGTGAATGCAGCCAAGGTTGTTATTATTTTTTTCCCTGATTCCCCATCTCCATCTGGAGCGCTGGACTGGCATTCTCTCATTTTCAACCCTAAATAGGAACATTAAATTTCCAAATCACTTCATTTCTTTCATTTATAAATCACAAATCTTGCATTCCTCCCAATGAAGAGCAAGGGTGTATAGCTTCCACGGGTTCTTGTTTTCTCTCTTGTCTGAAAGGATCCAGCGATTTTAAATGGCAATTATCGGTTTTTGAAGCAATTCAATTCAAACCTTTTATTGTCAATGCACAACATGAAATGCATAACATGAAAATTAAACTTCGGGTCACACAAATTCCTATTTTCAGTGCCCTTGTGACTGAACGGTTGCTAAATGATGGGTTGTAACTCGAGGGCTACCTGTATGCTGGACTTGCATTCAAAGACCCTCATAAACTGACCCTCAAAACTTGATTTATGCAGTCCGGTAGACTTCAAGCTATTGGAGAAAGGTAAGAAACGCTACAGGCGTAAGGTCACTTATCCAGAATCCCTGGAGGAATCTGGAAAGGATAAATTGATGACCGGACAGGACGCAAAGTGAGTTGTGCATGTATAATTTTAAGAGCAATTTAATAAGGAGCAACTCTTGACATTAGAATTTATTGAGATAGGGAAAGGAAAGAAGGAAGGAGGAAGAAAGGAGGGAAAGAAGCGGAGGGAAAGGAAGAAAGAAGAGAAAGAAATGAGAAAAGGGAGGGAGGAAGGAAGGCGAAAGAAGGAAGGGGGAGAAAGAAGGAAGAGGAAAGGAAGGAAGAAAAGGAGAAAGGGAGGAAGAAAGAAAGAAAAAGAAAGGGAGGGAGAAAGAAAAGGAGGAAGGAGAGGAGAGAAATAAAGGAGAAAGAAAAGGAGAAAGAAAAAGGAAGGAGGGAAAGAAAGAGGAAGGGAGGCGAAAGAAGAATGGGGAAAAGAAGGAAGAGAAAGGAAGGAAGGAGAAAGGGAGGGAGGGAGGAAAGAAAGAAAAAAAGAAAGGGAGGGAGAAAGAAAAGAAGGAAGGAGAGGAGACAAATAAAGGAGAAAGGAAAGAAGGAGAAAAAAAGGAAGGAAGGAAAAGGAAGGAAGGAAAGAAGAGGAAGGAAGGCGAAAGGAGAGGGGAGAGAGAAAGAAACAAGGAAGAGGAAGAAGAAGGAAGAAAGAAAGAAAGGAGAAAAGAAAGATGGCGGGGGGAGGAGTAAAGAAAGAAAGAAAGAAAATAAGAAAAAGTAAAAAAGGAAGAGGAGAAGAAAAGAAAGAAGGAAAGGAGAAAAAAGAGAAAAAGGAAAAGGAAAGAAAAAGAAAGGAGAGGGAAAAAGAAGTGAAGGAAGAGAGAAAGAAAGATGGAGGGAGGGAGGAAGAAAAAGAAAGGGAGGGAGAAAGGAGGAAGGAGAGGAGAGAAATAAAGGAGAAAGAAAAAGGAAAGGAGGAAAGAAGAGGAAGGGAGGCAAAAAAAGGAGGGGAAGAGAAAGAAACAAGGAAGAGGAAAGAAAGAAAAAGGAGAAAGAAAGATGGCGGGAGGGAGGAAAGAAAGAGAAAGAATATGAAAAGGAGGGAGAAAGATAGAGAAAGGAAGAAAGGAAAAAGAAAAAAAAGAAAGGAGAGGGAAAGAAAGAAATGAAGAGAGAAAGATGGAGGGAGGGAGGAAAGAAAGAGAAAAAGACCCAGCCCCGCCTCCCCCCAAGATCCCCCCCCCAGCCCTGATTTCCCCCCCTCTGCAGCCGCCCGTTCACACGTTTCTCCTGCCCGGCTTGCAAAAAAACTCCGCCGCGCCTCCGGTTGCAAAACTCGCACTGCGCAACCCGCGGGAGCCTCCTCGAGGGGCGGGGGCAGGAGAGCCCGGGGACGCGCATGCGCCTTTGCCCCACGCGCCTGCCTTCTTGACTTCTTCCGGACTGGTAGCTCAGGTGAGCGAGAGCGCATGTGCGTCCTTCCCCAGGACAGGGGTGAAGGTGGGGGGAGGAAGAATAGACGCCCCCTCCCTGTTTTTTCTCTCTGCAATCTCTGGTGGCGGGGGGGGGCGGGTTTGTTTTTCTTTTAGGGTGAAGGAAGGAATTTTTTTTTTGAGAGGGTGGAAACTTGCAAAGAAATACACACAAAAAAAGAGAGAATAGGGGGTGTGATGCATTTGCTGGACAAAAGAGGAGGGGGTTTTATTTGCACCCCCCCTCTCTAGAAAATGCACTGCTTGGGGTTGAAAGGTTTGGGGGTTCACTAATAAAGAATATTTGTAGCTCAGGGCTCAATTGTGGTCGTCCTTGGTGCTCCCTGAGCTTGGCGGTTTTCTCACAGACGTTTCGTGACCTAACTAGGTAACATCATCAGTGATAGTAGGGAGTGGGGAGGAGGAGGAGACACTGGGGTCCTTGGCTCTCTCTGAGCTTGATGGTTTTCTCGCAGATGTTTCGTGACCCAACTAGGTAACATTGTCAGTGCTAGAAGGGAGATGGGGTTTGTGGAGAGGAAGGAAGGAAGGAAAAAAGGAAGGAAGGAAGGAAAAAAGGAAGGAAGGAAGGAAGGAAGGGAGGGAGGGAGGGAGGGAGGGAGGGCTGTGGGGGTCCATGGTGCTCTCTGAGCTTGATGGTTTTCTCGCAGACGTTTCATGACCCAACTAGGTAACATTGTCAGTGTTAGAAGGGAGATGGGGTTTGTGGAGAGGAAGGAAGAAAGGAAGGAAAAAAAGGAAGGAAGGGAGGGAGGGAGGGAGAGCTGGGGGGGTCCTGGGTGCTCTCTGAGCTTGAGGGCTTTCTCGCAGATGTTTCGTGACCCAACTAGGTAACATTGTCAGTGCTAGAAGGGAGATGAGGTTTGTGGAGAGGAAGGAAGGAAGGAAGGGAGGGAGGGAGGGAGGGAGGGCTGTGGGGGTCCTCGGTGCTCTCTGAGCTTGATGATTTTCTCACAGACGTTTCATGACCCAACTCGGTAACATCATCAGTGCTGCAAGGGAAAGGAATTTGCAAAGGAGAAGGGGAGGAAGAGGAGGAGGAGAAGAAAAAGAAGTGGGGAGGAGGAGGCAGAGAAGGACTGTGGAATTCAATGGAAGCTGGACTTCCTTTGCTTGTGACTGCGTAGGGATTCTAGGCTGCTTCCTCTTTTGACGCCGCCTCCAGCCTTCTGCCATTCCTCCTCCTACAATGCCGGCAGTTGGTTTCTCTTTCATTTTCATTTTATTTGGGGCTTCCCTTCTATCCTTCCAGAATGAAAGAGTGGTGGATCCAAGTCGGCCTGCTGATGCTGCCCCTGCTTGCCGTTTACCTCCACATCCCGCCTCCCAAGCTGTCTCCGGCTCTGCATTCCTGGCGGTCCTCGGGGAGTTTCTTCACCTACAAAACCCACAACATTTTTTTCAGAGGTTGCGTAGATGCTTGTGTCATGAATCCAGTTCTCTCATTTGCTTATTTGATATAAACCTAGTCCTCGGCTTATACGACCACAATTGAGCCCAATGTTTCCGTTGCTAAGTGAGACACTTAGGGAGTTTTGCCCCGTTTTACGACCTTTCTCGCCACAGTTGTTAAGTGATTCGTTGCAGTGGTTAAATTAGTCACTCGTTTGTTAAGTGAATCTGGCTTTCCCTATGGACTTGGCTCATCTGAAGGTCACAAAAGGGGAAGATGTGACCCCCCCCGCCCCCCCGGGACATGGCAACCTTCATGAGTCGGTTGCTAAGCGTCCAAATTTTGATCACGTGAACGTAGGGATGCGGCGGTCATAGGAGCGAAAAAAACGGTCACCAGTTCCTTTTTTTCAGGGCTGTTGTAACGTCAGTCACTAAACGAACGGTCGTAAGTCGAGGACTTCCTGTCATTGAATGGAGGTGCCCGTTCGATTCAGAAGGGTTTTTTTTTTTTTTTTTTTTAAAGACATCCGATCCCAAATTCATTAAAGCAGCCGTGGCATTCTCCGGAAAAGTTCCTGCAGTCGCAACAGCCGTAAAACTGAGGCAGCTGCTTTAATCGGTTGCAGAGTGGAGCTGCACTCCTGGCTGTTTCGAAACTCTTTTTTCTGAGCTGAATTAAATTCAAAGCACCAGGAATTTTTTTTATGTGTGTGTGTGTGTGTGCGTCATTTAGAAAGAGGTTGATTCTTGACATGTTGCCATCCAGGGTCATTAAAAGGCTTGGGGGTAAAAGGCAAAATAAAATACCTGTAAAGGTAGCAAATCTTATCCCAAAGTTGCTTTTTTTCAAGAGGCCACTGCACTTTCTGGTTTTTCTTTGAAGACCTTTCGCTTCTCACCCAAGAAGCTTCTTACTCAGGCGAGTAAGAACCTCCGAGTAGCCTCAACGACTCTCTAAAAAGGATGCAAATGACCAGCTGTCTGCAAGGAGTATAAATCCTTCCATTCCCCTCCATCCAGTCAGAGCTGAAGAAGCTTCTCGGAGGAGAAGTGAAACCTCTTCAAAGAAAAACCAGAAAGTCCAATTGCTTCTTGAAAAAAAAACACCTTTGGGACAACCCAAAGGACTGAGAATCTCTACAGACTTGTAGTAAATCCTAGCTTGTCGAGGCTAAGTTTGCAGTTTAACATCTGGCAGAGGCAGACGTCGTGGTCCAGTGATATCCGTGGAGGGGGGGAAACGCACCCAGGGTTCAGCGGATTCTTTTAAACAAGAGGGCGTGTTGCTTTTTTTTGCAAAATTAAGAGCATGATGCTTGCGTGTTTCGGTGTGTGTCGCCAACTCTTTCCCCAATGTTGGACAATTTGTCCTCTTCTGACACACGCAAGAGGCCTCACGCAGAGATGCACCTCTGATAATTCGGTCTTCGGATGGCGTTCTCTTTTTGCTCGTCTGCAAATACTGTTAAATTTTGGAAAACCGAACACCCGCACTGTTTATTTCAATTCCCTGTTAAGAATTCACGATTGATTTCACGTTTAAATTGAGAACCTTCTCTTTTAGTTTGGTATGCTCTGCTCGAACCCAAGAGTTTCTCTAAGGAATATTTCTCTTTGCCTCTTTAGATTCGCCCGGCGCTGTCGGAAGTTCGGACATCGTGGTCCTATTGCACGGATTTCCGACCTCGAGTTACGACTGGTACAAGGTGAGGGGGGGGGAGGACAGACATGTTGGATAAGGGCAGGATGGGCTGTAGAGATGCCGTAGGAAGTATTGGCAACCCTCCCTTCCTCCCTCCTTCTCCTTCTCGTCCCGCTGCAGATTTGGGAAGGGCTGACGCAACGATTTCATCGTGTGATCGCGCTGGATTTCGTGGGGTTTGGCTTCAGCGACAAGCCTGTGAGTACATTTCGAAGGACATTTCTTTCTTCCATTTCCTTCTTTCCCCAAATATTGTCAGCCAACCAGACAGGAAACGGATCGCGCGAGCTAATTCTGTCTTAACGGCGAGGCTACGTTACTGGAATCTTGCGGGTTTGAAAGTGCAAAAGATAGTGCAAAAGTGGGACACAAAAGCACCAAACGGGAATATCGCGTGCAGTTTTGGTCACCGTGTTACAAAAAAGGTGTTGAGATTTTGGGGAAAAGGGCAGAGAAGAGTAACTAAGATGATTAAAGGCCCGGAGACTAAAACGTATGAAGAATGATTACAGGAATTGGGTTTGGCTAGTCTAGAGAAATCAAGCATCTGAATTTTGATCATCTGACTTATGCCTTAGGCATGAAAGCTGGCTGGGTGTCTTTGGACCAATCACTAGGAGACTGGGAGTTCTAGTCCCGCTTTAGGCATGAAAGCTGACTGGGTGTCTTTGGACCAATCACTAGGAGACTGGGAGTTCTAGTCCCTCTTTAGGCATGAAAGCTGGCTGGGTGTCTTTGGACCAGTCACTAGGAGACTGGGAGTTCTAGTCCCTCTTGAGGCATGAAAGCTGGCTGGGTGTCTTTGGACCAGTCACTAGGAGACTGGGAGTTCTAGTCCCTCTTTAGGCATGAAAGCTGACTGGGTGCCTTTGGACCAATCACTAGGAGACTGGGAGTTCTAGTCCCGCCTTAGGTATGAAAGCTGGCTGGGTGTCTTTGGACCAGTCACTAGGAGACTGGGAGTTCTAGTCCCGCCTTAGGCATGAAAGCTGGCTGGGTGTCTTTGGACCAATCACTAGGAGACTGGGAGTTCTAGTCCCTCTTTAGGCATGAAAGCTGGCTGGGTGTCTTTGGACCAGTCACTAGGAGACTGGGAGTTCTAGTCCCTCTTTAGGCATGAAAGCTGGCTGGGTGTCTTTGGACCAATCACTAGGAGACTGGGAGTTCTAGTCCCGCCTTAGGCACGAAAGCTGGCTGGGTGTCTGGACCAATCACTAGGAGACGGGGAGTTCTAGTCCCGCCTTAGGCACGAAAGCTGGCTGGGTGTCTTTGGACCAATCACTAGGAGATGGGGAGTTCTAGTCCCGCCTTAGGCACGAAAGCTGGCTGGGTGTCTTTGGACCAATCACTAGGAGATGGGGAGTTCTAGTCCCGCCTTAGGCATGAAAGCCGGCTGGGTGTCTTTGGACCAATCACTAGGAGATGGGAGTTCTAGTCCCGCCTTAGGCATGAACCGGCTGGGTGTCTTTGGACCAATCACTAGGAGATGGGGAGTTCTAGTCCTGCCTTAGGCATGAAAGCGGCTGGGTGTCTTTGGACCAATCACTAGGAGATGGGAGTTCAGTCAGCTAGGCATGAAAGCCGGCTGGGTGTCTTTGGACCAATCACTAGGAGATGGGGAGTTCTAGTCCTGCCTTAGGCATGAAAGCCGGCTGGGTGCCTTTGGGCCAGTCCTTCTCTTTCAGCCCAGCCCACCTCATAGGGTTGTTGTGAAAATAAGAAAGGAAGAAAGTGTGTTGAATATGTTTGCTCCCTTGAGTTATTTGCCGAAATAATAAAGGCGGGACATAAATAAATACATAAATACCATTACAAAAACAGATTTGCAGGTGGGGGAAACCCCACTTAGGCCTAACAGAAGGGAGAGAGAAAAGTCTTGCCAGGCACCGGGAGCATCTCCGGGGAGGTCAAAAGATTCAAGATGGCAGCATGATGACACGATAGAAGCCGCCGGCCTTTACGCACGAACTGGGGTCTCACCTCAGTGAGGTGATTGTAGCTTCCATCTTGATTGGGGCTGTCTCGGCTCTCCCTGTGGTTGGCTTAGTTGTTTTAACCTGAAAGGTTAGGGTTCAGAGGTTGGCCCCTGAAGTAACAGGGCTTGATTCGAACTCGGTGCTCACCTCTCTCTCTCTCTCTCTCTCTCTGCATTGCAAACAGCGGCCTCACGCCTACTCCATCTTCGAACAAGCCAGCATTGTGGAAACCCTGTTACGCCACCTGGGCCTTCTGAATCAACGGATCAACCTCCTTTCGCACGACTACGGAGACACCGTCGCCCAAGAGCTGCTCTACAGGTGTTGTGGGAACTCTCGCAAGGACGACGGGAAGTCCTCGCTCTACGAGCACCATTGGGAGCGGGATGTCCGTTGCTCAGCGAGGCGGTCGTTAAGCGGGCCATGGCCGATTTGACGACCGTTCTTCGCCACGGTTATTAAGCCATGGTTCTTCAGTGAATCGTACGGTCATTAAACAAGTCTGCCTTCCCCCCCTCAGTCAGAAGCTGGATGGGAAGGTCACAAATAATTTATCATGTGTCCTAGGATGTTCCAACCGTCATAAATATGAGTCGGTGGCTAGGCGCCTGAATTTTGATCACATGGCCACAGGGATGTCTTTAAGTGTGAAAACCGGTTGTAATTTCAAACGGTCGCTAAGTGAATTGTTGTAAGTCAAGGACTGCCTTTAAACTGTCAGGTACCTTCCTGAGATTGTGCAGCGTGGTGGTTGGGGTTCGGAGCTGCCTTTTGGGGCCTGTGTAGTAGCTCGAGTTCGGGTTGGGCTTTAGTCTTGCAATTCCAGTCACAATACAGGCAGTCCTTGTATACCGACGGCTCCGTTTAGTGACATAGGATGGTGAAGAAAACTGCCAATCCTCGCATTTATGACCTTCACAGGTCCGTAAACGCAAGGAGGAAGGTCACTGCAGTTGGGAGTTCGCTTAGCTACTGCTTTGTTTAATGACTGAATCGCTGGTCTCAATCGCGGTCACTAAATGAGGACTCCCTCTATTAATTTGTATTTCAACGTTCGGGCAAGAGACCAGGCTTACCCTCAGTTAAGATACATACACCTGGAATCCAGGTAGCCTTGAGAGTTGATGTTTCTTATTGCTGTTAAAAAAAAAGCAGAAGTGTTGTGACCCAAACACAACAAACCCTCTGAAGTGAACTCAAATATTCCTGTCAGCGTTGCAACGCTGGCATAGAGAGCAGAGGACAGCGAAAGATAAACTCTGAAACTTTTGCCTGCAAAATCTCTTTGAAGCTCGGTTGTCGTGGATATCAGGTGAGGGGGCACATTCCTGAGAAATGACGGGGAAAAGAAGTCTGAAGAATGACTTGGAAGACAGCCAATGAGAAGCAGAGTCTTGGGGGTTGGAAAGAGAGGGATTGGAAGGCAAAAGGTCAGTCTTGTTCGCGCGGAGTCATGATCCGGTGGCTGAGCTCAATTAAAGATTTCGTTAAAGATTGGCAGTTTGGAAATTCATTTAATTTTGAGACAGTACCGCAGTCTGACAGATGGACAATTCCTTTATTAGGAGCGCCAGCAGCCCCGGCAAAAAAGTTTCTCTTTCTCCGCAGGCTAACAAGTCCGTCCGGCAGGAAGTGAATTGTTGTCTCCCACATCTATTCATCTCCGCCCCCTGCCTTTTATCCACAGAGCTAGGGTGGGACTTCCCTAGCAGCGGTGGCTCTTCCTGTTCTGTCCCCGTCTCACACACGCACCCCCACAGACAGGCAACAGTTAAAGAACTCAGCCGACAACAGTGTATCTTGTATCAGAATTGGCAGCAACCCAGTGTATTCTTTACTCACGAGGGGGGAGTTTCTCCCTTCGTCCGGGAACAAAGCCAATACACAATAATCAACAAAGTCCAGTAAATACAAAGAAGGTCGTCCGATATCCGTTTTTTGCTTGTCACAGAGTCTGAATGGCCACCTCACCCCCTTTTATACCCTGTGGGGTATGGTCCAGTGACTCAGCCTAATCCCCGGCACGCGTCCTCTTCTGCTGCGCGCACTTATCTCTGCGACGCTGCCGAGGATCCAGCCAAGACTCATCTCCCTCATTACTGTCCACCTGTGGCTGCGTGGACGTGCTTGGCCCCGGGCCTATCTCTTGACTTTCGGCAGAAACCGAAGGCATTGCCAGAGAGGAGGGTCCTGGAGAGGGAGGCCTTGCCAACTCCTCTCCTTCACTCTCGGAGTCCTCTCCTGCCGATGACACAGGCTCAGGTAACGGAGCCACAACACTTCCGTCCCGAGGACCGGCCCATGGATTTCCAGTGCTCTCCTCTCCTCTGCCTTCTGCACATCAGTCACTAGACCCAGCTGTTCCTCCTCTTCCTCATCAGCCACCTCCAGACCTGGGGGCTGTTGACTCTCCACCTGAGAGCTGACGGACGATCTAGGCTCCACCTGTGTCTCTCTCTCTGAGAGCTCCATTTCTTCTTCCCCCTCGGAGCTCCCAGGTTGCCTCGATGCTGACCCCAACTCTCACACCTCCTCCTCCTCCTCCTCCTCTGATTCGGCTGCTGGAGGGTCCGGTGGCCAATAGGCCACAACAACAACGTTCTCAGAACTTTCCCAAAATATTACTTTGACGAATTGCTATATTTACATTGTATTTATATTATATTTAACTCTTATTTAACACTGTTTTCTCTACTTTTCAGGTATGAGCAGAATAGAACGGGATGCGTCCTCATCAACAGCCTGTGTCTGTCAAACGGAGGTAAGCGGTGGATGGGAAAAATCTCCCGCAAATTCCCATTGAAAAATTACTCGGAACATAAGAGTCTTGCGGGGGGGTGTAAACGGGGGTGGGAGGACAGTTGGATCCATCATAGGGGACGTCAGTCAAGTTAGAGGGCAATATGCCATCAGTATCCAAGTCCCCACTCTCTTTTATAGGTACAGGGGTCCTCAAATTTATGACCGTTCGCTTAGTGTCCATTCAAAGTTACAATGGCACTGAAAAAAGTGACTTAGGGCCATTTTTCACACTTACGACTGTTGTAGCATCCCCGCGGTTACATGACTTACATTCAGACGCTTGAAAACACTCACTTTTCTGACCGCTGCAGTGTCCCAGAGTCATTCACTTAACAACCGTGTGACTAATTTAACAGCTGCAGTCATTCACTTAAAGTCGTAACATGAGGCAAAGCTCACTTAATTTATCAAGTCGAGGATCAGGAAATCCTCGACTTACGACCACAATTGAATCCAGAATTGATTTCCTGGACTCCTGCCTTGAGGAAGGGGCTGGACTAGAAGACTTCCAGATTGCCTTCCAGCCCTAGGATTCTATGATTCTTTCCATATTCTTGCTGGAAAGAATATGATGAAATCATACGATGAAAACAATTAAGGGAGAGAAGGATTAGAGGGGGGTGGGGACATGATAGTTGTCTTCCGATACTTGAGGGGCTGTCACAGAAGATGAGGTTGCACCCAGGGACAGGACAAGAAGCAATTAGTGGATCTCCAAAGGAGATCCAATCTGGGAATCTGTTGCGGTCCACCAGCAGCCTGCGGAGCTGGCAACAGAGTTGGATAATGAGGAGGCTGAGGAAGAACAGGGGCCAGTCCTGGAGGCTGGGGAAGGCCCGGATGAGGGCTCTGCGTCGGAGGCAGAGATGGGGCCAGGACCATCTGGGAGTGATGCGCGGACTCCGGAGCCCCCAGAGTCGGACAACAGAGAGGCAGAGGAACAGGAGGAGCCTGTTCCTAGTGCACGCATACACAGAGCTGCCAGAAGGCAAGAGCAGCTAAAGCAAAAGGGACAACTCAGGAGTAAGGCCTAAAAGAGCAGCAAAGGCTCTTGGGCTCTTTGTAGGAAAGCAACGTTGCTAAATCTGTTTCCAGTCGGTGTCTCTTGTTTCTGAACCTTGTGGGGCTTTGCCAAGAATGGCAGGGTGCCAAAGAAGATAAAGGTTTGTGAGAAGCCCGAAGGACTTCTTCTGAAGGACTTGTTTTGGAATTAATTTGGACTAATGAAGTAATTCTCAGCTGTTACTATAAAATAGGTTTGTTTGGGAGTAATTGTGTCTTGTAATGACTAAGTGAGCTTAGGTCACAACAGAATGAGGAGGAATTTCCTGACAGTGAAAACAGTTGGATCAGTGGAACAGTTTGCCTCCTGTTGTTGTGGGTGCTTTTTAAGAAAAGATCGGACAGCTATTTGTCCGGCATGGTATAAGGTCTCCTTCTCGGTGTCGGGGGTTGGACTACATGACCTCTAAGGTCCCTTCCGTCCCTATGATTCTTATCCAATTTAAAACTTTAGGCGATGCCTTTTGATCGCAGACCTGTTTGGGCCCCATCTCCTGTCACACTTGATCATAGCATAATCCCCACTCCCCCCAGATAAAAGATTTGTTTTCGTGGCTTGGAAAAGTTTTGGAACAATTCAAATGATTTCCATTCCTCTCTTAAATTTGCAGGCATCTTTCCAGAAGTTCATTATCCCAGATTCATCCAGAAGGTAATTTGTGCTCTTTAACAGAAAAATCGCCAAGTTTAGTTGAAGGTTTCTTTTCTGAAGAATTCCTTTTTTGGATCAGCCAGTAATCCAGCGAATAAATACTCTCTGTCTGTGTTATGTCTGCTTAAACTCTGGCTGCGAAATTTCTTTTCTTGCAACAGACAGCTTTTATTATTATGATTATTTTTGGAAAAAAAGCAGATTAAGCAGGGTGGATTTGATTTAAATCGAGTTGATTTAAATCACAATTTAAATCATGATTTAAATCACTAGTAAAAAGGCTTGATTTAAACCAACTCGATTTAAATCGTAATTTTTAAAGAGCAACTGTCTTCTCTGCTACTCCTTTGACCCACTGTTGACTCACCGATAGTCCCAGCGTTGCAGAATATACAGCCTCATGCTACATCACTAAACTCCATTTCATGCTGAATAAACTAAATTATTTATGTATCTTAAATAGAAAACTATCTTACGATAGATTTTTGCCCCAAAAGTTTTTTATTAAAATAAATTCGATAAAAATCAAAAAAATCCATTTTAAATCAAAAAAATCTGATTTTTTTGATTTTTTTAAAAAAATCATTGATTTTTATCCACCCTGAGATTAAGTAAAAACACCTAGAACGTAGATAAATACTCGGCGTAGGAAGAAAGAAATAAAAGTTGCAATAGGAATTGGCGAGCTGATTTTTACTTCCTGGATATTCTCTTTTCACACAAAGAGTGAATCTTAAATATTAAACCAGTTAAATTTATTGATATGTGACCCAGGCGGTCCTCGACTTACGACCCACAAACGAGCCCCGGTTGAGACCTTCTGACAAGCCAGAGGGAAGCCAGATTCATTTAACGGCCACACCATTCCCTTAAGAGGGGCAGTGATTCGTTTAACGACTGCGGCAAGAAAGGGTCGTTGAACGGGGCAAACCTCACAAGTCTCTCATTTAGCAGCAGAAACTGGGAGCTCCATTGTGGTCGTATGTCGAGGAGTACCCGCCTATCCTTTTATTCTGAACTGAACCGGTCTCCGTTACTTAATGATAATAATAATAATAATAATAATTTTATTTCTATACCGCCCTTCTCCCGAAGGACTCAGGGCGGTGTACAGCCAATTTAAAAACACAAGACACAACAATAATTAAAAATTAAAATAATTAAATAGATTTGGAGATGATCTATAGATGATCTTTCTCTGCTTTGATGTTTGGAAGTCCTGAACCGCAAAATGACACGGCAAAAATGAGGCCAGTTTAGTAACCTGGAGCCAGATGCAATAGGGATTTTTAATTTTGGAAAGCCATTTTTTTTTTCCTGCTTAGCAGCTTCCCTTTTGCTGCTGCGAAGAACCTTCCTTCCTTCTCCTCCTCTTCCTCCTCTTCCTCCTCCCCATGCAAACCGTTTGAAGGGCCCTCCTCCTGCTTTTTCAGGTTCTCAAAGATGGCGGACTGCTATCGGCCATTCTTACTCGCCTAACGAACTATTTCATCTTCACCAAAAGGTGAGTTTGCATTTTAAAGCGTTAAAAAAAAAGATTTTGGCTCTTTGAGAACAGAGTGTCTCAAATTTGGCCATTTGAAGAGAGGTGGACTTCAAATCCCTGAATTCCTGAGCCAGCTGGGGAATTCTGGGAGTTGAAGTCCACCCATCTCAAAGCATGCTTTGCTGTGGGATTCTGGGAGTGGAAGTCCACCCATCTTAAAGCATGCTTTGCTGTGGGATTCTGGGAGTGGAAGTCCACCCATCTTAAAGCATGCTTTGCTGTGGGATTCTGGGAGTTGAAGTCCACCCATCTTAAAACAAACTGGCTGGGGAATTCTGGGAGTTGAAGTTCACCCATCTTAAAGCAAACTGCTGGGGAATTCTGGGAGTTGAAGTCCACCCATCTTATAGCAAACTGGCTGGGGAATTTTAAAGTCCATCCATTTTAAGCATGCCAGCTGGGGAATTCTGGGAGTTGAAGTTCACCATCTTAAAGCAAACTGGCTGGGGAATTCTGGGAGTTGAAGTTCACCCATCTTAAAGCAAACTGGCTGGGGAATTCTGGGAGTTGAAGTCCATCCATCTTAAAGCAAACAGGCTGGGGAATTCTGGGAGTTGAAGTCCATCCATCTTAAAGGAAACTGGCTGGGGAATTCTGGGAGTTTAAAGTCCATCCATCTTAAAACATGCTGGCTGGGGAATTCTGGGAGTTGAAGTCCACCCATCTTATAGCAAACTGGCTGGGGAATTTTTAAAGTCCATCCATTTTAAAGCATGCCAGCTGGGGAATTCTGGGAGTAGAAGTCCGCCTGCCTTAAAGCATGCTGGCTGGGGTATTCTGGGAGTTGAAGTCCACCTATGTTAAAGCATTTGGGATGGGGAATTCTGGGAGTTGAAGTCCACATGTCTGTCTTCAAGTGTCTTAAGTTTGAGAAACTCTTCTAAAATAAGGCTGCTCAAATAATCTTCCTAAATTATCTTCAAAAAATCGGATTATATTTAAGCCGAAAGAAAGCCCATTTGGATTGGAGAACTGCTCGTCCAGAGTATTGAGGGGGGTGGGGGGGTTTGGACTGTGTGAATTCTCACGTTGATTCATCTCTTCTTGAATTCCCCCCCCCCCCCCCAGCCTGGGCGAAGTTTTCGGTCCGCACACCCAGCCTTCTGAGGCCGAATTGTGGGACATGTGGACAGCCCTGCGAACAAACGACGGAAACCTTGTGGTGGACAGGTAGGACGTTAAATCTCCAACTACAGTGTAGGTTTAGTCCTTGATTTACGACCATCATTGAGCCTGCCAATTATGGTCGTAGGACGTGATGGCTGTAATGGGTCATCCCACGACTGGATCCGATTTTCTGATTTTTTTTTTTTTTTTGGTGGGGGTCATTAAACAAATATCAATGTTTCCTACCTAAGCAGGGGGTTGGTCTAGAAGACCTCCAAAGTCCCTTCCAATTCTGCCATTCTATTCTATTCTATTCTATTCTATTCTGTTCTATTCTATTCTATTCTATTCCATTTTCCTATCCTATCCTATCCTATTCTATTTATTCTATTATTCCATTCCATTGCATTGCATTGCATTTTCCTATTCTATTCTATTGTATTCTATTCTATTCTGTTCTGTTATTCTGTTCTGTTCTGTTCTATTCTATTCCCATTTTCCTATCCTATCCTATCCTATCCTATCCTATCCTATCCTATCCTATCCTATCCTATCCTATCCTATTCTATTCTATTCCATTGCATTCCATTGCATTCCATTGCATTCCATTGCATTTTCCTATTCTATTCTATTCTATTCTATTCTATTCTATTCTATTCTACTCTACTCTACTCCATTGCATTTTCCATTTTTCAATTCTATTCTATTCCCATTTTCCTATCCCATCCCATCCCATCCCATTCCATTCCATTGCATTTTCAATTCTATTCTATTCTATTCTATTCTATTCTATTCTATTCTATTTCCATTTTCCTATTCTATTCTATTCTGTTTATTCTATTCTTATTCTATTCTATTTATTCTATTCCATTCCATTCCATTGCATTTTCCATTTCTATTCTATTCTATTCTATTCTATTCTATTCTATTCTATTCTATTCTATTCTATTCTATTCTATTGCATTTTCCATTTTTCTATTCTATTCTATTCTATTCTATTCTATTCTATTCTATTCTATTCTATTCCCATTTTCCTATCCTATCCTATCCTATCCTATCCTATCCTTATCCTATCCTATCCTATCCTATCCTATCCTATCCTATCCTATCCTACTCTACTCTACTCTACTCATATATATTTTTTTGGAAAATAAGTTATTGGTTTCTGGGGAAAAATGTTGTAAATTGCATGGTCGGCTGGGGCATTCTGGGAGTTGAAGTCCCCAAGCCTTTAAAGTTGCCAAGGTTGAAAGACTCCTGGTACAGTAGGATCTCCTGCTCGAGCAGGAGGCTGGACGAGAAGACCTCTTGAGGTCCCTTCCCATGCCGTTATCCTGTCTTATCACGTCTTAAATTTTGCTTTGCAGCCTTTTACACTATATCAGCCAGCGGAAGCAGCACAGAGACCGTTGGGTCGGAGCATTGCAATCCGCCTCGGTTCCCTGTGAGTAGGAACGGCTCCTCCTCGGAGCTTTGACGGGCTTTGTAAGAGCGGGGGGGGGGGGGGGGGGGGAAATATCGGACGTTTGCTTTCATTTGGGTCTTAAATGTCTTAAGTGTCGCCCTTCCTGTCTTCCAGTACATCTGATTTACGGACCACTGGATCCGGTCAACCCTCACCTGGAATTTCTTCCGCTTTACAAGTAAGCTGGGTGGGGTGGGGCCTCCCCGTCACATTTCAAGGACTTACCAAAAAAAAAAAAAAAAGTGACTTTCCTCTTTTTTCTTGATCCGAAGCAAAACGACGTCTTTGCACATCGGTATATAGACAAGCGTCACCTGCATGAGCTGGGGGTTGGACTAGAGGACCTCTAAGGGTCCTGTTGTGATAGCACACTCCCACAACTGCAGAATGCTTCAAACAGACATAAATGCGGCAATCTTGCCCAGCCTCCAAAGTTGGCCGTGGGAACTTCAGATCAGGGCCGTATAAGAATCCTTTTTCAAGTAGGCCGTACCTTCGCTAAGCGGCCGGTCATAAGTCCAGGACTGCCTATATAACAGGAGGCCTCAGGAGCAGGGGTCTCCAACCTTGGCAACTTTAAGCCTGGCGGATTTCAACTCCCAGAATTCTCCAGCCAGCTTTGCTGGGAGTTTATTTAATGACTGGTGTTTGCCCCCCACTTATGACGGTCACGTTTGCTTAACAAACGCCGTTAAAACAATGTGTAATTGGCTCAGTCATGTGATTTACTTCTTTTACAACCGTGTTATGACTTCCGGCTGCATTACGGTTGTAATTCGAGGACTAGCTATAGAAGCTTTTCCCAAAAGGCAACTGGACTTTTTAAATTTTCCCTTGAAGAGGTTTCGCTTCTCCTCCAAGAAGCTTCTTCAGTTCTGGAGAACAGCTGGATGGCGGGGGAATTCTGGGAGTTGGAAGTCCACAAGTCTTAAAAGTTGAGACTCTCTGTCAGCACTTCAAGCTGCATTTACTCTAGTGCTGACATAAGAAGGAGAAGCGGAGGCGTCTGGAAAGGGACGTTTGACTTTTCACCTACTTATTTTCCCTGGAGATAATATCCCCTAGGAGATGGGATGGGAGGGGGGAAATTCCTTTGAGCTGGAGCAGTAGATTAGGGGTAGAGTGACTTGGAAGATGGCCAATAAGTGCAGGGGAGTGGGGAACGGAAAGGGAGGGTTTTGGGTCTGGAAGTCAGTGTTGGCTGCGATGGAGTCGGGGTTACAATGTCGTGCTTAATAAATGGGAGTTTTTCTTCAAAGACTTCGTTTGAAATGCAATTTATTTGAGACGACCTCAAAACCTGACACCCTCCCCATGTAAATGGCCCTGACATGATGCTAGTCCCCCTCGTCCCCATGCCCCTTGGAGGTAGCACCCCACAACCTCTGCTCTCTTTTATTTTTTTGACAGACAGCTGCTTCCCACGTCGACAGTGACGGTGCTGGATGACCACATCAGCCATTATCCACAGCTGGAGGAGCCTCAGGGTTTTCTGAACGCGTACTTAAACTTCATCAACTCCTTCTGAGCCACAAACACGACGGACCGAAACCGTTCCCTCTCTTCTGAGGAGAATTTTGCACTCTGGAGCAATAGGAGAAGCGTGGGAAGAGCGGATGGAAACTCCGGACGACGGTGAATCAGCCTTTGAAGCGATCTCTGCGTTGGCGAGTAAATTGACAGAATCTAGCCGACGGATTGGCGGGGACGGTGGTGGAGGGGTCTGAAGCAGTTTGAAGGGAGCCCCCCCCTCCCCCCAAAAATCCTGCCTCTGGAGGATGCGGGGGAGAGGAAGACCAGGTGAATAAGCGAGCAGAAATGAGGACGGCGCATCAGAATCGGGATGATAACAGTACAGATAGTCCTGGACTGACAACAGTTCGTTTAGTGACGGTTGGAAGCTACGACGGCACTGAAAAAAGGGACCCGTGAGCGTTTTTCACACTTAACGACCGTTGTAGCATCCCCCGTGGTTAAGTGACGCTTGGTACCCGATTCATATTTAAGATAGTTGTGTCCCAGGTCACGCGATCACCTTTTAGTACAAACTGCTTTGAAACGCATCGGATTTGGTACTCGACGCATTTTGACGCAAAAACGTTTTGCCCCGGGACCAATTGTTTAGCACTCGATTGGCGCACAAGCTCCAGGCAGTCCTTGACTTACGACAACAGAGCCCCAAATCCCTTGTTGCTAAGTGAGACATTTGTCAAGTGAGCTTTGCTCCATTTTTACGACTTTTCTCGTTAAGTGAGTCACCCGGTGGTTAAGTGGATCCGGCTTTCCCCCCTTGACTTCGCGTGTCGGAAGATTGCAAGACCCGCATGCCACGACCCGTCGTCGGTATGAGTCAGTTGCCAAACGCCTGAAGTTTGATAATAGGCATGCTGGAACAGACGTAAGTGGTGGAAAAACGGTCGTTTTTTCCTGTACCGTCATAACTTTGAACAGTCACTAAATGAACCGTTGTAAGCTGAGGACCGCTTCATGGCACCCTTGATGAGCTTCGTCTTCTGTAAGTTGGTCTTGCCCATTTAAATTGTAAATTTGGGAACGCAACTATGCATTATATAAAGACATTCTTTTGATTATTCCCACGACTCCTGGCTCCCTATTTATAAGCTTGGATCGTAAGAGTTAAGAGTGAATAATTAGCCCTGCTGCCTTTTAATCACCCCAATTACAGGTAGTCCTCGGCTTACGACCACAATCGAGCCCAATATTTATGTCGCGAAATGAGACACTGGTGAGTTTTGCCCCGTTTTTACGACCTTCCTGGCTGCAGTCGTTAAGCGAATCATTGCAGTTACATGAGTCACACGGTTGTTAAGTGAATCCGGCTTCCCCGTTGACTTTGTTCGTCAGAAGGTCGCAAAAAGGGGATCGCGTGACACACTGCAACCGTCATAAATATGAGTCAGTTGCCGAGCAACTTTTGATCACAAGGATGCTGCAATGGTCGTTAAGTGGGAAAATGGTCATAAGTCACTTCTTTCAGTAGTGTTGTACTTAACGGTCACTAAATGAACTACAGATCATCCTCAATTTACGACCACAATTCAGCCTAAAATTGATGTTGCTAAGTGAGAAATTTCTTCAAGTGAATTTTGCCCCGTTTTACGACTTTCCTTGCCACGCTTGTTAAGCGAACCGCTGCAGTTGTTAAATGAGTAACCCGGTTGTTAAGTGAATCCGGCTTCCCTGTTGATTTTGCTTGTCAGAAGGTCGCAAAAGGGAATCACGTGACCCCAGGACACTGCAACCATCATAAATGTGAGTCACTTCTCAAGTATCCGAATGTCCGTCTTATGACTACAGGGATGCTGAAACGGTCGTAAGGGTGAAAAATGGACAAAAAACTCAACTTTTTTCAGTGCCGTCGTAACTTTGAGCGGTCACTAAGCAAACTGTTGTAAGTCGAGGACTCCCTGTATTGTAAATTGAGGTTAAGTATGGCTTTTGTCCTAAGCCGAAACACCCCAAGGTCTCCCCTCACGGTGGAGAAAACTGCTTTTGGTCCATCGTTTAAAAGCAACTTTTAAGAGGACTTCAACTCCCAGGATTCCCTAGCCAGTTTCGAGTCTTTAAAACCCAGATATTTTAAAGCTGAGAAACGCGGACATATTCCGAGTGTGTTTTATCATTCAGACCAGAGGTGGGTTTCAGCAGTTCTGACCAGTTCTGGCGAACCGGCAGCGGAAATTTTGAGTAGTTCGGAGAACTGGTAGTAAAACTTCTGACTGGCCCCGCCCCCATCTATTCTCTGCCTCCCAAGTCCCAGCTGATCAGGAGGAAATGGGGATTTTGCAGTATCCTTCCCCTGGAGTGGGGTGGGAATGGAGATTTTACAGTATCCTTCCCCTGGAGTGAGAAGGGAATGGAGATTTTACAGTATCCTTCCCCTGGATTGGGGAGGGAATGGAGATTTTGCAGTATTCCCCTGGAGTGGGGAGGGAATGGAGATTTTACAGTATCCTTCCCCTGGAGTGAGAAGGGAATGGAGATTTTACAGTATCCTTCCCCTGGATTCGGGAGGGAATGGAGATTTTGCAGTATCCTTCCCCTGGATTGGGGAGAGAATGGAGATTTTGCAGTATCCTTCCCCTGGAGTGAGAAGGGAATGGAGATTTTACAGTATCCTTCCCCTGGATTGGGGTGGGAATGGAGATTTTACAGTATTCTTCCCCTGCCACGCCCACCAAGCCATGCCACACCCACAGAACTGGTAATAAAAATTTTTTGAAACCCACCACTGATTCAGACCCAACGAAAACACATCTGGAAGTGCTGAAAACAGCTCATTTATTGGCGGCCAATAAAAATCCAATCCAGGAACTGCTCTTTTATTTAAAAAAAAAAAAGAAGAAATTGTCCCCCCCCCCCCCCATCTCTAAACTTACTCGCAAAAGGCAATAATTTATAACCGGAACGAAGATGCGACCGAGTACTCCAGAGTTTCTCAACCTTGGAAGCTTGAAGATGGGTGGACTTCAACTCCCAGAATCCCCCAGCCAGCGCTGCTGGCTGGGGGATTCTGGGAGTTGAAGTCCACCCATCTTCAAGCTTCCAAGGTTGAGAAAAGTCCTGGAGTGCGCAAAAGAAATGCCAAAATTCCTTGACAGAAGAATAACCATCGAAGGGAATCGCGCAACGAACCGAATAAACGCGCCATCCCCAGATCCGGAAGAGGAGTCGCCGGTGGGGATGGGGCAGGCTCGGGTGACGACTGTTAGCCGACGGAAGCCAAGATGACGTCCACGGGGGCTTCGACGATGCTCCGGACGGTCACTTGCATCGTCACGCCGTCGCCAAGAGCGAGTCGGGCTCTGACCAGGACGTCTAAGCCACCTCTGAACATACCTGGGGGTGGAGGGAGGAAATGAGAGAAGTAGGTAGGCCGGGATTCAAGATTTCAGAAGAAATGAGACGGCACTATCTTGGAGCCTTCCATCATCTTCTTTTAATGACCCTATAATCCCGGAGTCTGGGCAACTAAATGGAGCTGAATGTTTACTGGCCGGATGCCCTTCCTGTCACTAATACGGAGTTTTGTTCAGCAGATCTATTTAGTGTGCCGAGAGAGAGAAATATCTGCCTCTACCTAGGATCGAACTCGCAGCCTCCCGATTGTGAGGCCAGAGCTCCACCTCTAGGCCACCGCACCACTCTATCTTATGGCCTTCCACGGTCTTCCCAAAGGGATTGATCGATCAATCAATATCGGCTGTAGGGCGCAGTGGGAAAAGTGCAGGTCGAGAAACCAGGAGACGGTGAGTTGTAGTTCTGCCTCAGGCGTGAAAGCCGGCTGAGTGACATTTGTGCCAATCCCCGGGAGATGGTGAGTTCTAGTTCTGCCTTGGAGTAAAAGCCAGCTGGGTGACTAAGCCAATCGCTGAGAGATAGTGAGTTCTAGTTCTTCCTTAGGCATGGACGCGGCGCATTTTGGATGCAGGTAAACATATGGCACGCACAGAGGCTCACGGAGAGCGAAAAACGGGCCTACCGGAAGTTCGGGCCCATCTCCGGCCTCCAGAGCCTGGGGAGGTCGTTTGCGGCCTCCCGGAGGCTCGAGAAAAGCCTCCGGAGTCTGGGGAGGGCAAAAACGCCTCCCCCCGCCCCGTCGTGGTGCAAGAGGCCGACTAGGCCACGCCACCCAGCAACCGTGCAGAGAACCCCTTGCTAAAATTTTTGAAGCCTACCCCAGCGTAGCTGCAGGGAGCTTCAGTATCCTCACACACACACACACCCCTAATTTCCCGATGGGTTCGTACCTGCCAGGTAGAGTGTGTGCGAATTTTTGTTCTCGGGCACTTTATCCGATCTCTCGCAAGGTTGCATGCCGAGGAACTTCACGATGTTGTTCACAGCTTCTACATTTCGACAAAAAAACAACAACAGCTGGGGTTAGTCCATGTTGTGGCTGCGTTACCTGAGCCTGTGTCATCGGCAGGAGAGGACTCCGAGAGTGAAGGAGAGGAGTTGGCAAGGCCTCCCTCTCCAGGACCCTCCTCTCTGGCAATGCCTTCGGTGTCTGCCGAAGGGCAAGAGATAGGGCTGGGGCCAAGCACGTCCACGCAGCCACAGGTGGACAGTGATGAGGGAGATGAGTCTTGGCTGGATCCTCGGCAGCGTCGCAGAGATAAGCGCGTGCAACAGAAGAAAAGGCGTGCCCGAGATTAGGCTGAGTCACTGGACCACAACCCACAAGGTATAAAAAGGGAGCGTGGTGGCCATTCAGACTCTGTGACGGACAAAACTAACTACTATCGAGTCACATTGCATCTTTGGAAACAACATTATCGGCCTTGGATTTATTTTACGAACCGGACAATTCTTGACTGTGGGTATTTTGTTTATTGAGTAAAAGTTCTTGGCAAGCAGCTACTGGGTTCCTGCCAAGCTTCTTATCGGAAGAATTGGTTGTCTGCCAGTTTATTTAACCCCCGGCTGTCTGTTTGTGTACTTGTGTGAGACCGGGACAGAACAGTCCAGTGGTGGGATTCAGCCAGTTCTATCCGGTTCGGGCGAATCTGTAGTGGCTGCTGCGGGAGGCTCCGCCCACCCGCCCGGATGTCATCACGTCTCATTTTTGACGCTTTGACGGAGGTGGCGTGTGCTCACATTTGCGAACCGGTAGCAAAGGTAATACCACCCCGGGGGTTAGTCGTCCAGACACAGGAATTCAGAGGTTTTGGAGGGTTGACCAAGCAGCCCCTGACAAGCAAGGGGGAGTCCATGGGACAGGTAATCCTCAATTTACGACTGTAACCGAGCCCAAAATTTCCGTTTCTAAGTGAGCAATTTGTGAAATGAGTTCGGCCCCGTTTTTTTTTACGACTTTTCTTGACACCTTGGTTCAGTTGTTAAATGAGTCACACGGTTATTAAGCGAACCTGGCCTCTCCCCTTGGGTTTTCCTCATTGCAAAAGGGGACGTCCCCCCCAGGGACGCTGCAACCGTCATAAATGTGAATCGGTGGTCAAGCCGTCCGAATGTCAATCACGTGACCAACGGTCGTAAGTGTGAAAAATGCTCATGAGTCACTTTTTTCAGGGCTGTTCTAATTTCGAACGGTCACTAAGCGAAGTGTTGTAAGCTGAGGACTACCTGTATGGGCAGTTGGAGACTCCCCTTTTTCCTTGCTGGGAGCTGCAAAGAGCATCTTGCAGCTTCCTTTAATAAATCAATCAATCAAACGGTTACTAAACAGCCGGTCGTAAGGCGAGGACTATTGGCTAACAGTTCAAGGTTTACTTATTTATTAAATTTATTGGCTGCCCCCCTCGTTTCAAAGTGACTCTGGGCAACTTAAAGCATAAAAAAAAGATTAAAACCATCAAATATAAACTCAACCCATTTCTGGTTTAATACCCAAATGGAAAGAGCCGCTACCCTCTCACCATCCAGGCTTTTAATGGTGCTGAGTGCGAAGGTTTCCTCCTTCTCGTAGTCGTCGCCCACTTCCTCCCAGGCGGCGGCGAAGTTCGGCTTCAGGATTCTCTGGATGTGGTCGGAGAGAGCGAGCTCCAGATCCTCCAGCTGCGGAAAGGGAAGCCCAGAAAGAATGACGAGTAGTCCTCGAACTTACGACCGCAACGGAGCCTCAAATTCCCATTTCTGAGATGGTTGTTAAGTGGGTTAAAAAAAAAATCAAAATGGCGGCTGCAATTGCGCGATCCAAACCCTGCCCCCAAATGACCGCAAACTCCCCGGGTCTTACCCAGGGGTGAAATCCAACAGGTTGTGGAGAACCGGTAGCGGAAATTTTGAGTAGTTCGGAGAACCGGCAAATCTGGCTGGCCTCAGAGTGGGGTGGGAATGGAGATTTTGCAATATCCTTCCCCTGCCACGCCCACCAAGCCACGCCCACAGAACCGGTAGTAAAAAAAAAAATTGTGGATTTCATCCCTGCTCTTACCACGTATTCGTCCTCGTAACCGTCCTCCTCCGGCACGCCGGTGTTGGGATCGCAGTCTCGAACTCTGAACTTCATCGTGCAGCTAAAGGTGCACGCCACTAGGGGGCGACAGAGAGACAAGGCGCAAAAGGAGGACCGATTAACCCACTGGTCCTTTTTTTAAAAAAAAATGTGAGCGAAAGGTGGTCCTCGACTTACGACCGCAATTGAGCCCAACATCTCTGTCACTAAGTGAGACATTTCTTAAGTGACTTTTGCCCCGTTTTACGACTTTTCTTGCCATGTCTGTGTTTGGGAAACGTGTGAACTAACCAAACGACCTTAACCAATGCTCCCTACGTGTTGCAGAGAGGGCAAAACAGAACTGCTACTCTTTAGTTGCACGTTACAGAAAACACCACGGCTGGATCGGGAAAGTCTTGCTAAGCTAGGTTTGCTCTTTGGGCTACTGAGCTGGGTGGACGGCTGGGAAGAGCCTCGGTGGTGCAGCGGACTAAAATTGCTGTTAAAGTAGCACTCAGCTGCCAGCTGCTTGCAATTACTGCGAGTTCGATTCTCACCAGGCTCAAGGTTGACTCGGCCTTCCATCCTTTCTAAGGTAGCTAAAATGAGGACCCGGATTGTGGGGGCAATAAGCTGACTTTGTATAAAAAAATAGAACACCGCTTGGGGGGGACGAAAAGCCCTACTAAGCAGGTATATACAAAAGACTCAGCCGCCCTGAGTCTTTGGAGAGGGGCGGAAATTAAATTTAATTAATTAAATTAAATTAAATTATTAAAAATTAAATTATTAAATTAAATTAAATAAATTAAATTAAATTAAATTATAAAATAATAAAATAAATAAAATAAAATAAATAAATTAAATTAATTAAATTAAATATTTTTTTTTTTTTTTTTTAATTTGATTTATATGCCGCCCTTCTCCGGAGACTCAGGGCGGCTTACAATGCGTTAAGCAATAGCCTTCATCCTTTTGTATATTTATACAAAGTCAGTTTATTGCCCCCACAATCTGGGTCCTCATTTAACCTACCTTAGAAAGGATGGAAGGCTGAGTCAACCTTGAGCCTTGGAGAGATTCGAACCAGCAGTAAATTGCAGGCAGCTGTGTTAATAACAGGGTGCTTTAAACCACTGTAGTACCAAGGCTCAAAATTAAATTATAAAATAATAAAATAAATAAAATTAAAAAATTAAATTAAATTAAATTAAATTAAATTAATTAAATTAAATTAAATTAAATTAAATTAAATTGCTATTGCTTAAAGCATTGTAAGCCGCCCTGAGTCTCCGGAGAAGGGTGGCATATAAATCGAACTAATGAATGAATGAATGAATGAATGAATGAATGAATGAATGAATGAATAAATAAAATTCTAGCGCCTTTCTGAAAGCTTGGCTTTCAGAGGAATTGGGGGGGGATGAAAGGTGGACCGCTAAGACAGAGATGCACCCACAGGGAGGGATTAACATCTGGCAGAACATCAGGAGCAGAAAGGCCTTCCTGGCGGTACCTGCGGTGGCGTCATCCAGAGGCAGGCGCACCAGCGTGTAGCACATGCCCGGCTGGTTGTACGAAAGGCTGGGTGCCGGGATGCAGCGGAGAACTTCGTAAGCTTCCGAAGGCTCCATCTGAACCGTCACTTTTTCCAAGAGCTGGTCGTTGAGGGTGTTGGTGCAATCGAACTTAAAAAAAAAAAAAAAAAAAAGGAGAGCGCCTGGTTGGGATTTCTAGTACACATTTGTTCCAGAACTTGGCTGAGCGGCGTTAACTTTGACAAGCAAGAACTCTCGACGTAAAACCAGGCGCAGGTGGGTGGGTTTATCAAGCAGCCAAGAGGGAACCAATGGAGGAGAATATTTCGTAGCTCGAGGTCGGTGCTCTCTGAGCTTGGTGGTTTCCTTGCAGACGTTTCATGACCCAACTAGGGAACATCATCAGTGCTGGAAGGGAGAGGGAGTTGTGGAGAGGAGGAGGAGGAGGAGGAGGATCCTTCACCTGGGGACCTCTCTGCACAGGACCCAGGTGCTAAATTTTCCATCCGGACAATACCTCTCCACCTGGCTGACTGGGGAATTCTGGGAGTTGAAGTCCACACATCTTAAAAAGGGGCTCGGGATGAGAAACATTGCTCTGTGACAGCGATATCCAATAATGGCCCCTTTAACCGCTGTGGACTTCAACTCCCAGAATTCCCCTGGGGATTGAAGTCCACAGGTGTTAAAGGGGACAGTGTTGGACACCGGTTCTACACAGAGGCAACAATGAAGATACTAACTAAACTCAACAAGCTTCAAGTCTTTCCAATTAATTTACTTTGCCTAGGTCCCCATATTTGCTTTTTATCTATCTATCTATCATCTATCTATCTATCTATCTATCTATCTATCTATCTATCTATCTATCATCTATCTATCTATCTATCTATCATCTATCTATCTATCTATCATCTATCTATCTATCTATCTATCTATCTATCTATCCATCCATGCATCTATCTATCTATCTATCTTATCTATCTATCTATCTATCTATCATCTATCTATCTATCTATCTATCTATCTATCTATCTATCTATCTATCTATCTATCTATTTTACCTGGAAGACAATGTGATTGGAGAAGACGTGCTTAATACAGCGGACAAAATACTCCGTCTCGGCCTCTGTCAGCTGCACAGCCTCCGAGGACTTGAATAGCGGGCCCAGGTTCTTGAATTCAGGAATGGCGGCCAATTGTTCTACATGGGGAAAAGAAAGCAGTTCAGGGTCGGAATGGCAGATAAGAAAGAGGAGACCGGGAGTTCTAGAGCTGGCTGGGTGACTTTGGGCCAAACACTAGGAGACGGGGGAATTCTAGTCCCGATTTAGGCACAAAAGCCAGCTGGGTGTCTTTGAGCCAATAACCAGGAGACGGGGAGGTCTAGTCCCGCATTAGGTATTAAAGCTGACTGGGTGGTTTTGGGCCAATCACCAGGACACAGTGAGTTCTAGTCCTGCCTTAACCATAAAAACCATCTGGGTGACTTTGGGTGAGTCCCTCTCTCTCAGTCCAACCCACCTCACAAAGCTCCTGTTATGGGGAAAAGAGGAAGGAGTGGATATATGTTCACTGTCTTGATTTATTTGTAAAAATTAAGGCAGGAAAGAAAGAAAGAAAGAAAGAAAGAAAGAAAGAAAGAAAGAAAGAAAGAAAGAAAAAGATAGGAAGGAAGGAAGGAAGGAAGGAAGGAAGGAAGGAAGGAAGGAAGGAAGAAGAAAGATGGAAGGAAAGAAAGAGGAAGGAAGGAAGAAAGGGGCTGAGAGAAAGAAAGAAAGAAAGAAAAAATGAAGAGAAAAAGAAAGAAGAAGAAAAGAAAAAGGAAGGAAGGTAGAAAGGGGTGAAAGAGAAAGAAAGAAAGAAAGAAAAAGAAAGAAAAAGGAAAGAGAAAAAAGGAAAAAGGAAAAAGGAAGGAAGAGGGGGTGAGAGAAAGAAAGAAAGGGAAGGAAGCGGAAGGAAGAAAGGGGGTGAGAGAGGGAAAGAAAGAATGAAAACGAAAGAAGAAAAAAGAAAGAAAAAGGAAGGGAGGTAGGTAGAAAGGGGGTGAGAGAAAGAAAGAAAAAGAAAGAAAAAAAAAGAAAAAGGAAAAAGGAAGGAAGAGGGGGTGAGAAAGAAAGAAAGAAAGAAAGAAAGAAAGAAAGAAAGAAAGAAAGAAAGAAAGAAAGAAACTTTAATCTCTCTGGGGAGACATTCTGTCCTCATTCAAAGGGCGAAGGGAGAATTCCGATCGAGGAAGAGGAGAGAAATATCCTTACCTTGGAATATGTCTTGTCGTGAAGGAGCCATCTTTTCAGGTTTGTTGGCTACCAGGGAAATCTCTGAAATAGAAAATTAAACAAATAAATTCATATTTCTGACCAGGGAGCGCAAAGGAATTGGTGGCAAAGAGAAAAATCTCACAATCCTACAAGGTAGTTCTGACACGAAGGGAGCCTGCCGTGCCAGATTACAAGAAGGCCAGGTCTCCAGGGACTGGAAACCCACGTAGCCAGACCTCGACTTATGACCAGAATTGGGAGCAGAATTTCCTTTGTTAAGCAAGACAATTGTTAAATGACTCGCATCTTATTCTACGGGCTTTTTTTTTTTTTTTTCCATGGTTGTTAAGCAAACCGCTGCTTGGAATGTCGCAAATGGCGATCATGAAAACTCTGGATGGATGCAACCATCGTAAACATCATCAGTGCTAGAAGGGAGGGGGGGGTTTGCAAAGAGGAGGAGGAGGAGAAGGAGAAGAAGGAGAAACAGGAAACGGAGAAGAGGAAAAAGGGACAAGAGACGAGGAGGAGCATGATGAATGTGGGGTTTCTGATGATCTCTGAGCTTGGTGGTTTTCTTGCAAGACGTTTCATGACCCAACTAGGGAACATGATCAGTGTTAGAAGGGAGGGGGGTTTTGCAAAGAGGAGGAGGAGGAGGAGGAGAAGAGCAGCAGGAGGAGGAAAACATGGGACTTTTGATAGTTTCTGAGCTTGGTTGTTTTCTTGCAGACGTTTCATGACCCAACTAGGGAACATCATCAGTGGTAGAAGGGAGGGGGGTTTTGCAAAGAGGAGGAGGAGGAGGAGGAAGAAGGAGAAACAGGAAACGGAGAAGAGGAAAAAGGGACAAGGAGACAAGGAGGAGAATGATGACTGTGGGGTCCCTGATGATCTCTGAGCTTGATGGTTTCCTTGCAGATGTTTCATGACCAACTGTGTAACATTCATCAGTGCTAGAAAGGAGTGGGAGTTGCAGACAGGGAGGAAGAGGAGGAGGAGGAGGAAGAAGAAGAAGAAGAAGAAGAAGAAGAGGAAGAGGAAGAAGAAGAAGAGGAAGAAGAAGAAGAAGAGGAAGAGGAAGAAGAAGAGGAAGAAGAGGAAGAAGAAGAAGAAGAAGAGGAAGAAGAAGAAGAGGAAGAAGAAGAAGAAGAAGAAGAAGAGGAAGAAGAAGAAGAAGAAGAAGAATTAGAATTGTGGGATCCTTAGTGCTCTCTGAGCTTGATGGGTTTCTTGCAGACGTTTCATGACCCAACTAGGGAACATCATCAGTGCTAGAAGGGAGGGTGCTTTGTGCAGAGGAGGAGGAGGAGGAGGAAAACTCTAATCCCAGTACCTGCTTTTTGCTCAAAGACGGGGGCGGTGGCCAGCGGCACAGACCTCATGTCGAAAGGCTTGTCCGAAGGCTCCAGCGTGTATTGGTGCAGGGCTTTTTCCATGCCAGGAATGGAGACGGTCAGACCTGCCGAAGACGAGAAAGGGGGTTTCAAACCAGAAGTAAAAAACAGAAACAAAACCCGAAATGTACAGGTACCGTATATGTTGGTACTTTGCTCAACAGCAGTAACTGTGAGAGGGATCTTGGAGTCCTAGTAGACAATCACTTAAATAGGAGCCAGCCGTGTGCAGCAGCTGCCAAAAAAGCCAACACAGTTCTGGGCTGCATCAACAGAGGGATAGAATCAGGATCACGTGAAGTGTTGATACCACTTTACAAGGCCTTGGAAAGGCCACACTTGGAATCCTGCATCCACTTTTGGTCACCACACTATAAATAGTCTCGCCTGGACTACTGCAACGCTCTCTACATGGGGCTCCCCTTGAAGAGCACCCGGAGGCTCCAACTGGCGCAGAGTGCGGCCGCGCGGGTGATTACGGGAGCTGCATGGCGCTCCCATGTAACACCGCTCCTGCGCGAGCTGCACTGGCTCCCAGTGGTCTTCCGGGTGCGCTTCAAGGTGTTGGTTATCACCTTTAAAGCGCTCCATGGCATAGGACCTAGATATCTTCGAGATCGCCTGCTGCTACCGACGGCCTCCCATCGACCCGTGCGCTCCCACAGAGAGGGCCTCCTCGGGGTGCCATCAGCCAAACAGTGTAGGCTGGTGACCCCCAGGGGGAGGGCCTTCTCTGTGGGGGCACCTACCCTCTGGAACCAGCTGCCCCCAGAGATAAGGAGAATCCAAGACCTCCGTGCCTTCCGCCGTGCCCTTAAAACCTGCTTTTTCCAGCAAGCCGGGCTGGCCTAACACTTTTTAAAATGTTTTTAATTGGTTTATTGTTTTTAATCATGGGGCCAAATTTATATATATCTTTTTAATTGTATTTTAATGTTTGTAGGTTATGTTTTTATTTGGCTGTTCACCGCCCTGAATCCTCAGGGAGAAGGGCGGAATACAAATTTAAAAATAAAATAAAAATAAATAAAATAAAAAAGATGTTGAGACTCTAGAAAAGTGTGCAGAGAAGAGCAACAAAGATGATTTTAGGGGGCTGGAAGCTAAAGCATATGAAGAACGTTGGCAGGAACTGGGTATGTCTAGTTTAATGAAAAGAAGGACTAGGGGAGACATGATAGCAGTGTTCCAATATCTCAGGGGCTGCCCCAAAGAAGAGGGAGTCAAGCTATTCTCCAAAGCCCCCAAGGGCAGGACAAGAAGCAATGGGTGGAAACTCATCAAGGAGAGAAGCAACTTAGAACTAAGGAGGAATTTCCTGACAGTGAGAACAATTAATAAGTGGAACTCCTTGCCTCCAGAAGTTGTAAATGCTCTAACACTGGAAGTTTTTAAGAAGATGTTGGATAATCATTTGCCTGAAGTGGTGTAGGGTTTCCTGTCTGGGCAGGGGGTTGGACTAGAAGACCTCCAAGATCCCTTCCTGTCTGTTATTCTGCCACCTACTATTAAAGATGTAGGCCGCATTGAGAGTCAGCTGTCTCTGCTGCAGCACGTTCAGATAGAAAGTGGCTCGATCCCGGACTTCATCATCACTGTCCATCACACACCTGCAAGGAGGAGGAGGAGGAGGAGGAGGAGGAGGAGGAGGAGGAGGCAAAAGAAGAAATGTGAGACCAATACTGGTCAGAAGCTTCTTGGTGGACAAAAACAACCAGCCTTAAAATACAACTTATGAACTGCCAGCTTACCCACACAAAGTCCACAAACACACATACGTCGAACCTCTTTAGATTTTTGTTGTTTTTTGGTTATCCTGCCTTTATTATTTTTACAAATAACTCAGAGGCTGCAGAGATATGCTGCCGGCTGCCAGCAGTTTGGCAGTTCGATCCTGACCGGCTCAAGGTTGACTTCCATCCTACCAAAGTCGGTAAAATGAGGACCCCGATTGTTGGTGGTAATATGCCGACTCTGTAAACCGTTTAGAGAGGGCTGTGAAGTGGTATACAAGTCTAAGTGGGAAGGAAGGAAGGAAGGAAGGAAGGAAGGAAGGAAGGAAGGAAGGAGGAAGACAAAGGGAGAGTGAGAGGCAGAGAAAAGGAGGGAAGGGAGGAAGGAGGAAGGAAGGAAGGCAGGCAGAGTGAGGGAGAAAAGGAAGGAAGGAAGGAAGACAAATAAAAGGAGAGGCAGAGACAGAGGGAGAAAAGGAGGGAAGGGGGAGGGAGGAAGGAAGGCAGGCAGAGTGGAGGGAGAAAAGGAAGGAAGGAAGACGGGCAGGTGGGCGGGCAGGTGGGAGGGAGGGAAGGAAGGAAGGAAGGAAAGCAGGCAGAGGGAGAGGCAGAGGGAGAAAAGGAAGGAAGACAGACAAGGGGAGAGTGAGAGGCAGAGAAAAGGAGAGAAGGGAGGAAGGGAAGGAGGGAGGAAGGAAGGCAGGCATAGTGAGGGAGAAAAAGAAGGAAGAAAGACAGGCAGGCAGGCAGGCAGGCAGGCAGGAAGGAAGGAAGGAAGGAAGGAAGGAAGGAAGGAAGGAAGGAAGGAAGGGCTGTGGTGGCACATGGGTGAAAGAGAGACAGAGAGAGAGAGAGAGAGAGAGAGAGAGGCTTCCGTGTCGTTTCAAGGTATTCTTGGTCAGTCCAGTCCAGCTTTAGGGAGTCAGAAGAGAGAATCCATTTGGAAGAAATTTTGATTCATTGATGTGATGTGTGTGTGTGTGTGTGTGTGTGTGTATGTGTGTGTGTGTGTAGGGGCGTAGGGCAGAACTCACCTCTGCAGGAGCACCAAAATGCTGGGCAGGAGATTCTCATTCTGAGCCCCAAATTTGGCCAGAGCGCTGACGGCCGCTGCAGGGAAAAGCAAGTCGGAGGCAAAAAGTTAGCGGTTTCCTTTTATCTGCTTTGTCTGTTATAACTGACGATATTCGTGTTTTCTTTTCAATGTTTTTATGCTCTAAGCCACAGTTCCCCAAGCCAGGCCGCCAACTCACCCAGTTGGTGGCCTGGCTGGGTGGGTAGGTGGGAGTGGGGAAAAGAGGGGATGGTTTTGTGAGAGGAGCAGGCGAGCAACTGTTACTCGTGCAAACGGGGCTGTGGGCACCCACAACGCTCATGCAAGTGGGTGTGATGTCTCCCTTAGGACGACTCCCCGGATTCTTCCTCGGAGGCTGGCTCGAAGGAGGATGAGCTCAATCCTGGCACGTCAGGAACTGGGTTAATTGATGACTCTGATCAGCCGTCCGAAAGAGATTTACAGGAGGCTTCGGCTGGGGACAGTTTGCAGGGGTGGACGGGCAGGGAAGAGGAAGAGAAGCTGCCTTCCACGGTGGATCCGAGAGCACTCAGGGCACAGAAAAGACAAGAGCAATGGAGATCTTCCAGATTGCTCAGAGGAAGATCCCGCCCATCTTGATGGGCTGCATTTATCACAGTGGGCAGAGAAAGGGGTTGCTGGGAAGAAGGTGTTTGATTTGTGGCTGTGTTTGTTCCTCGTGAAGAAACGAGGAACAAACACACAGCCTCTGTGTGGAGCCTTGGAGCCTCTGAACTTCTCTTGCCAAGTGAGATCTCGTGGGTGTATTTCCATTTGGCCTAGTGGATTTAAGTTTGTTGGGTGGGCTTATTTGTGGGAGCGACTTTCCATTGTTTTATGGACAATTGGCCCCTGCCTTGTGGACTGATTGCAGCTGGATTTATTTGGGACAGATCTGAGGTTGGATGCTGGGGAACATTAATAAATTGTCTAAACCACATTACTCTGCCATAGTCCTTCATGATAAAGCTGATAAGCACCCACCTTTATCTCCCTTGACACGCTGCCAAAGACCTAATTGGCAATTAGCTTTGCGAGGCCACACGGAGCACAGAGTCAAAACGGAGCTTCAGAATTTAAACCGACCAGCACGAACAAAGTTGCTTCCTGCAAAGGCTCATGTGCCTTTGCTCCTCCTTTATGTCTTATGGGAAGGGCCAATCATCTCCAGGCCTTACTCCTGAGTCGCCCCTTTTGTCTTAACTGTTCTTGTCTTCTGGCAGCTCTGCGCATGCGTGCGCTGGGAACCCTATTCCTCTGCCTCGCTGACGTCAGACTCTGGAGGCTCCAGAGTCCGCGCATCACTCCCAGATGGCCCCGGCCCCATCTCTGCCTCCGACGCAGAGCCCTCATCTGAGCCTTCCCCAGACTCCAGGACTGGCCCATGGTCCTTTCCCAGCCTCCTCACTGTCTGATGCTGCTGCCAGCTCTGCAGGCTGCTGGCGGACCACAACTAGCAGGGCGTGCTTGTCCCGCTCAACCTCTGCTCCCGTTTTTGGAGTATCAGGAGCAGGCAGCTCACACAAGACAGAAGAGAAGCCTTTGGGATACTGTTCAGGCATGCACTGGCCTGATTGGTGTGTGGCTCGGTTCCCAATAGGCCACGGCCCGTGGGGGTGTTGGGGACCCCTGCTCTAAGCTGCCCAGCTAAATAAATAAAAATCCGTGGGGTATTCTGGGAATACCCCACGGTATTCCTGGTGGCTCAGCAGACTGATAGCATTGTGATTAACACCAGCTGCCTGCAATTACTGCAGGTTCGAATCTCGCCAAGGCTCAAGGTTGACTCAGCCTTCCATCCTTTCTAAGGTAGGTAAATTGAGGACCCAGTTTGTGGGGGCAATAAGCTGACTTTGTATAAATATACAAAAGGATGAAGGCTATTGCTTAACGCACTGTAAGCCGCCCTGAGTCTCCGGAGAAGGGCGGCATATAAATCAAATTAAAAAAATAAAATAAAAAATTGAAGTCCACGTATTTGAAACCGAAAGGTGATTTTTTTTCAAGAGGTAATTGGACTTTCTTGGGTTTTTTTTCTTCGGAAGGATTTATATTCCTTGCAGACAGCTGGTCATTTGCATCCTTTTTTAGGGAGTCGTTGAGGCCGCCTGGACGTTTACCCGTGTCCTCTCTCCAACCTCCAAACAACCCTCTCAAAGGATGCGAACGTCCAGCTGTCTTCCAGGAGTATAAATCCTTCCGTTCCCCAGTCAGAGCTGAAGAAGCTTCTTGGAGGAGAAGCGAAACGTCTTCAAAAGAAAAAAAACAAGAAATGTCCAGGTGCCTCCTGAACAAAAAGCACACCTTTGGGACCACCTGCATGGCTGAGAATCTCCATATTTGAAAATTGCCAAGGTTGACCAACGCCGATCTCGAGGTCTTCTCCTTCTTGGTCTCAAAGCTCGCCATCCCCCTCGCTCCAAACTCACCAGCCCGAACGGCTTCGTTCTCCAGCACCACTCGGTTGAAGATGAAGCGGATGTACTTGGAAGGGGTGGGGGTCCTGGGCCCCTCCTTGCCCAGCAGGTGGAGGATCTTGGTGGCCAGCACCGTGTGCTCGCAGTCTTCGATGAACTCGCAGAGGTGAGCCAGGCCCGTCTCTTTGCTCTCGGGGTTCTCTTCGATGATGCCGATGATACAGTCCACGATGGCTCGCTTGTACTCGAAGCCGCCCTGCGGGGAGACACGAAACACGCGTGTGCAGCAGTGGGACTGCGGCCAGTCCTCGGCTTACGACCGCAACCGAGCCCCAAAAATCCCCGTCGCTAAAGCGAGGCAGTCGGGGGGGGGCGTGAGTTTGAAGACCAATGTTAAGACCAGAGGTCTTCAAACTTGGCAGCTTTAAGACTTGTGGACTTCAACTCTGCTTTAACAACCGCTGCAAAAAAAAAAAATTGGGTTGGTCATGTAGGCGACCTGTTTTACGAACGTCCCGATGTAGCCTCCGTTACGGTCGTACGTCGAGGACTACTTCTCAAGACTTTCTTGCTCTTTGGTCGCTAGGCGGGTCAAGTTTATAGTTCTCAAGACACGTTGCAAGTAGCGGCCTGGGTAAGTTCCCCCAACAGGGGGCGCTGCAGGAGCCCCCCAATGCAGACGGAGCGACCTACGTCATCCCGAAGCATGTTGGACAGGAACGTCATCATGACGCTGTGTTTCCGTGGGTACTTCTGGCACAGAGCACTGATGGCTTGGACGACTACCACCTGCAAGGCAACAATAATACGACGTTAAGTGAGGATCGGTCGGTTCTCTGTATCGGGCCGATTAAAGAGGTTCTGGGGTGGGGGGGAAAACCCATCCTCCTGTAGGGCATCATGAGGGCATCAGCAGCAGAAGGGGACCTTGTATGATGGAGAGATGTGGACAGCAGCCAATAGTCCTTTTCTCTAAGGTGGCGTTTTTCAAGCTTGGCCACTTTAAAGATGCTGGACTTCCCCAGGCGGCTATGCTGGACTTCCGCTCCCAGAATTCCCCAGCCAGCTATACTGGACTTCAACTCCCAGAATTCCCCAGCCGGCTATACTGGATTTCAACTCCCAGAATTCCCCAGGCAGCTATACTGGACTTCAGCTCCCAGAATTCCCCAGCCAGCTATACTGGACTTCAACTCCCAGAATTCCCTAGCCGGCTATGCTGGACTTCAACTCCCCAAATTCCCCAGGCAGCTATACTGGACTTCAGCTCCCAGCATTCTCCAGCCAGCTATACTGGACTTCAGCTCCCAAAATTTCCCAGCCAGCTGTGCCGGACTTCAACTCCCAGAATTCCTCAGCCAGCTATACTGGACTTCAGCTCCCAGAATTCCCCAGCCAGCTATACTGGACTTCAACTCCCAGAATTCCCTAGCCGGCTATGCTGGACTTCAACTCCCCAAATTCCCTAGCCAGCTATACTGGACTTCAGCTCCCAGCATTCTCCAGCCAGCTATACTGGACTTCAGCTCCCAAAATTTCCCAGCCAGCTGTGCCGGACTTCAACTCCCAGAATTCCCCAGCCAGCTATACTGGACTTCAACTCCCAGAATTCCCTAGCCGGCTATGCTGGACTTCAACTCCCCAAATTCCCCAGGCAGCTATACTGGACTTCAGCTCCCAGAATTCCCTAGCCAGCTATACTGGACTTCAGCTCCCAGCATTCTCCAGCCAGCTATACTGGACTTCAACTCCCAAAATTTCCCAGCCAGCTGTGCCGGACTTCAACTCCCAGAATTCCTCAGCCAGCTATACTGGACTTCAGCTCCCAGAATTCCCCAGCCAGAATTCTGGGAATTGAAGTCCCGCATCTTAAAGTGGCCAAAGTTTTGCCCACTTTAATACAGGGATGGTTTTGCATGTGCGCCGGCCGCTTGTGCGAATGGAGCTTTGCACACTCACATGCTCGCCTGCCACAGGCTGCAGCCTGGTACTGGGCCACGGACTGAGAGTTAGGACTTCAAGTCCTCCCAAGGTCCTTTCCAATTCTGTTATTCGGTTAGTGCCTTTTCCAAAAGACAACTGGACTTTCTTGGTTCTCTAGAACTGAAGAAGCTTCTTGGATGAGAAGTGCAACGTCTTCAAGGAAAATAAACCCAAGAAAGTCCAGTTGCCTTTTGGAAAAAGCACCTTTCGGACAAGCATGACCTGGAGGATTGAGAATCTCCATAGACTTTTGATTCAAGGGTTATCTGAACTGGGCTGCAGAACCACAGATGGCCACTAGATGGCACAAAAGAGATACGGAAAGAAACTCTCTGCTGCCCCACAGTGATGGCACAAATTTTTGCAGGTAGCATAACTTAGTGACACTTTTTCTAAATCCTGCGGACTCCCCTCCGTGCCAATTTTGGCAGAGAAAAGCCAGAATCCCATCCACCCCTAACAATTCTGGCGGGCCGAAGAGAAAGCCAAGAACCAGATTTTAGAAGGCTGACCTTAAACTCATCCGATATCTCGGAGACGAAGGAGGAAATCTGTTTCATGAGTCGGTCCACGCTGCTCTCGCTGCCCGTCTTCAGCAGGGTGGTGATGGCCAGCGTGGCGATGCTGCGATTGGAATCGGTGATCAGGTTCTCCAGATCCAAATTGCAGGCCGTCACCGCGGACGGATGCTTCATTGCCACCTGAAAGTACAACCCAGAAAAGCTTACAGGAAGAAGGCCGCCAATAGGGACCCTGCAGCCTGCAATGACTAATATAAAATATAAAATAAAATAGAACAATAAAATAAAATGCAATAAAACAAATAATAAACTAAGTTAAAGCAATAAGATAAAATAAACTGCAATATAAAGTAATAAAATAAAACAAAATATAAAATAAAGTAAAATAAAATAAAATAAAATGCAATAAAATAAATAATAAACTAAAGTAATAAGATAAAATAAAAGTAAAGTAAAATAAAGTAAGTAAAGTAATAAAATAAAACAAAATATAAATAACGTAAAATAAAATGCAATAAAATGCAATAAAATAAATAATAAACTAAGTTAAAGCAATAAGATAAAATAAAATGCAATAAAATAAATAATAAACTAAGCTAAAGCAATAGGATAAAATAAACTGCAATATAAAGTAATAAAATAAAACAAAATATAAAATAAAGTAAAATGCAATAAAATGCAATAAAATAAATAATAAAGTAATAAGATAAAAGTAAAGTAAAATAAAGTAAGTAACAAAACAAACCAAAATATAAAATAAAGTAAAATAATAAAATAAAATAAAATGTAATAAAATAAATAATAAACTAAAGTAATAAGATAAAAGTAAAGTAAAATAAAGTAAGTAAAGTAATAAAATAAAACAAAATATAAAATAAAGTAAAATAAAATAATAAAATAAAATAAAATGCAATAAAATAAATAATAAACTAAAGTAATAAGATTAAATAAAAGTAAAGTAAAATAAAGTAAGTAAAGTAACAAAACAAAATAAAATAGAAAATAAAACATTTCCGCTAAGTGGGACAGTTGTTAAATGAGTCGCTCTATTTTATGACTGTTCTTGCACTGTTGTTAAGTGAATCACTGCAGTTGTTAAGTTAGTAACCAGGTTGTTAAGTGAATCTGGCTTCCCCATGGACTTTGCTTGTCAGAAAGTCGTAAAACGGGATCACGTGACCTTGGGACACTGCAACCATTTTAAGTACATGCCAGTTGCCTAGCCTACAAATTTTGATCACATGACGGTGGGGATGCTGCAACGGTTGTAAGTGTGAAAAACGGTCATAAGTCACTTTTTTCAGTGCCCTTGTAACTTTGCTCAGTAAACAAACCGTCATAAGAGGAGGACTATGTGTATTTAATATTGTAATGTTTTGTCCTTGCTTTTTAGATGTTGTAAGTTGCCCCATCACCTGACAGTGGCATGAATACCATCTAAATTTAATTGATAAATAAACACAGGTAGTCCTCAACTTACAAAACTTCACTTAGTGACTGTTCGAAGTGACCATTTCTCACACTTACAACCGTTGCCGCATCCCCACGTGATTTACATTCGGATGCTCGATTATGGATTCGTGTTTACGACGGTGGCAATGTCCCGGGGTCACGTCATCCCCTTTGGCGACCTTTTGACAAATCCATGGGGGGGGGGAGCCAGATTCACTTAACAACCACGTTGGTCCTTGAACAACGGCGGCGATTCGCTGAACACAGGCGGCAAGGAGAGTCGTAAAATAGGACAAACTCACTTTTAACAAATGTTGTTTCGCTTAGCAACATAAATCTTGGGCTCCGTTGCGGTCGTAAGTCGAGGACCACCTGTGACAGGCAGCCCCCTCTGAAGCGCTCACCTTATTAAGGGTCCGGACCGCCGCGTATCTCAGAACGGGCTTCGGCGAACTGCAGAAGAGCTGAAGCACTGAAAGGAGAAGCAAAAATGGACCAGGCTGAATTTCGTCACACAATTTTGTCACACAAGGCGAGGAAGGGAGGGGATCACAAGCTTGACGGACAGCTCATCCATTTGCGTAGTTGTGACCCAGATAACACCCCTTCTACAGCTGTGTCTAAATCAGGGGTGTCAAACACAATCTTTCGAGGGTTTCAAAGCGGATGCAGAACCCAAAACGGGAAGATTTTTGACTTTAACTAGACTACTGTCATGCCTTCCACATGGGGCTGCCCTTGGAGACTATTCGGCGGTTTAGTGACTTCAGAACGCGGTGTTGTGGTCTGCCAGCAGCCTGCGGAGCTGGCAGCGGAGTCGGACAGTGGGGAGGAACATGGGCCAGTCCTGGATTCTGTGGGAGGCCCGGACGAGGGCTCTGCATCCGAGGCAGAGATGGGGCCAGGGCCATCTGGAAGTGATGCGTGGACTCCGGAGCCTCCAGAGGCAGATATCAGAGAGGCAGAGGAACAGGAGGAGCCTGTTCCTAGTGCGCGCATGCACAGAACTGCCAGAAGGCAAGAACAGTTAAAACTAAAGGGACAACTCAGGAGTAAGGCCTGGAGATGATTGGCCCCTCCCATAAGGCTTAAAAGAGGAGCAAAGGCACGTGGGCCCTTTGTAGGAAAGCAATGTTGTTAATTCTGTTCCCAGTCGGCATCTCTGTTTGATTCTGGACTCCGTGGGGCTTTGCCAAGTAGGTCTTTTGGCAGCGGGTCAAGGGAGATAAAGGTTGGTGATTATCCCGAAGGACTTTTCCCGAAGGACTTTTTTGCAACTAATTGGGACTCAGCTGTGAATGAACGTAATTCACAGCTGTTGCAATAAAAGAGGTTTTGGGGACTACTCGTGTGTTTTAATGACTCAGGAAGCCTACGTCACAACACGCGGCAGCGTGAACAGCTTCATGCAAACCAAGGCTTGTATAAGCGTCGCCTTTCTTGCAGGAGCTGCACTGGCTGCCGATCAGAAGTGAGCGTCACATACTGTAACAACCCATTCGGCGAGCACCGGAAATGCGCGACGTCGAACAGCACGGCAATTAGCTTGCGCGCGCCATCCGCACATGCTTGCGTCATCAAAAACACAGTGATATAGGACCAGCTGAATCCCACCACTGCTGCCGATCTACTTCCAGGTTTAAGTCAAGGTTATGGTTGCCACCTTCAAAACTGTCCATGTTTGGGCCCGAGTTCTTTGTACGACCGTCTTTTCTCGGTTACGTCTACCTGATGTATGGTTGCTGCCAAAATGGGGTGGGGTAGGATTTTTTTAAAAAATGGGCTTTTATTAAAAGTAGTCCCTCGACGTACAACAACTCGCTTAATGACCGTTCAAAGTTATAATGGCACTGGAAAAAAGGGAAATTTTTCACACTTACGACCGTCGCAGTATCCCCGCGGCCGCGTGATATACAGACGCTTGACAGCTGACTCGTATTTATGACGGTTGCAGCGTCCTGGGGTCACGTGATCCGCTTTTGCTGACCTTCTGATGAGCGAAGTCAAGCGGGAAGCCAGATTCACTTAACAACCGTGTGACTCATTTTTAAAGAACTGCCGTGATTCGCTTAAACGAACGCGGCAAGCAAAGCCATAAAGTCACCTTAACAAACGTCTCATTTAGCAACATAAATTGTGGGGCCAATTGTGGTCGTTAAGTCGAGGACTAGCTGTGTTGGGTGGATTTTTTTTTTTTAAAAAAACTGACTTGGCTACATTGATCTGTTTAATAGATGAAAATAAATAAACGAGCTATCCCTGGAGTCCACCAAGGACTCCCGGGTCTGAAACGAAGGGACGGATTCCCATGTTGCACTCACCTGAGACTGCCGGGGCCAGTTCCCGGGCTGTGCAATTGGGGAGGTGGATGATGGCCGAGGCGGCTTCGTAAATCACCATCTCGTGTTTGTTGCGCAGGCAGCTTTCGATGAAATCAAAGAGGGGGTTGTCGTGCCTGCCGAGAAAAGACACGGCTGCGTTTACAGGTCGTGTGACGTCAGCATTAACGTACCAGCGGATTAGACGGGGGTGTCGTGGATTGTAGTCTGGATTCCCAGGGAGGGAGGGGCAGCTTCCCAGAGGGCAAAGAGGCAGCGGAGCTTGGAATGTCTGGTAGGCAGGAAGAGGGTTATAACCAGCGGTGGGTTTCACATTTGGTTACCATTGGTTCGCCACTCGCGCGTATGCCTTCTGTGCATGCACCCAGCTTTCCGTGCATGTGCTTTGCTCCTGCGCCTGCTTCCTCCCATGCACCTGGCCTCAAAAACGTGCCTAAATAGGACAGCATAGAGCCGTGATGGCGAACCTATGGCACGGGTGCCACAGGTGGCACGCCGAACCATATCTGTGGGCACACGAGCATTGTCCTAGCTCAGCTCCAGTGTGCCTGCGCATGCCGGCCAGCTGATTTTCAGGCTTTCCGGTTGCACCGGAAATCGGGAAACGAGCCATTTCCAGCCTCCAGAGGGCCTCTGGAGGGTGGGGAAGGCGGTTTTCGCCCTCCCCAGGTTTGTAGAATGCCTCTGGAGCTTGTGGAGGGTTAAAAACGGGCCTACCAGATCCACAGTGCCAAAAGTGGGGGTGCGCGGGGGATACCACGCACATGCATGGGGCTCATTGAATTATGGGTGTGGGCACACATGTGCACGAACCCTGTGTTCTCCCCACTTTTGGCACACGACGGCAAAAAGGTTAGCCATCACTGGCATAGAGCCAGCGCAGGTTCGGTTCGAACCGGTCCGAACCGGCTGAATACCACTTCTGCTTATAAAGGCTCTAATCCTAGCAGTTCATAAGGGATTTCTACAGGTATTTCTCAATTTACAACCACTCGTTTAGTAACCGTTCAAAGTTACAACTGCCCTGAAAAAAATGACTTCCGACTGTTTTTCACACTTATGACCGTTGCAGCATTCCCTCCCCCATGGTCACGTGACTAAAATTAGAACACTTGGCAACTGGCTCATACAGGTATGCCACAAGTTACGACCACAATTGAGCCCAAAATTCATTGTTGTTAAGTGAGGCAGTTGTGACGTGAGTTTTGCCCCATTTTACAACTTTTCTTGCCCCGGTTATTAAGCAAATCATTGCATTTGTTAAGTTAGTCACACGGTCATTAATCGAATCCGGGTTATCCCATTGATTTGGCTTGTCAGAAGTTTAAAAAAACTGATCATGTGACACCCCCCATCCAGGGCCCCCGCAACTGTCATATGAACCGGTTGTCAAGCAGCTGAATTTTGATCACGTGACTGTGGGGGATGCTGCCACGGTCATAAGTGTGAAAAATGGTCCTAAATCCCTTTTTTCAGTGCTGTTGTAACTGCATGGTCACTAAACGAACGGCTACCTGTATTTATGACTGATGCACTGTCCCGGGGTCCTGTGATCCCCTTTTGCGACCTTCTGACAAGTCAGGTCAACGGGGATGCCAGATTCATTTAATGACCGTGTTACTAATGTTAAAAACTGCAGTGATTGACTTCATAACAGGAAGGTTGTAAAACGGGGCAAAGCTCACTTAACAACGATCTTGCTTAGGAATGGAAATTTTGGACTCAATTGTGGTTGTAAGTCAAGGACTACCTGGTTTAATTATTCAGACAGTTGCTTTAGCTTGGCAAAATTCTGTCCGGAGGTGAACAATCATAAACCTGCCACAAAACCAGCAGCTTCCATCATGTAACCTAGTGTCATATCCCTATTGGAGCCTGCGGGGGTTGAGGGGGCGGCTCTGTTGGCTTTGGAGGAAACTGGGGAAGGGCAGGGCCAGTCCGGGCAGGGCTTTTCAGGATTAGAAAGGCTTGGAGGCAGGGAGGAGCAGAAGAGACCGAGCTCAGGCGATGAGCAAGGATCACCCCCTCCTGATCCTAGAGCATGGAGAGAAGAGCGAAGGCGAGACCAACGCATATTGAGCCAGCTACGAGAGAAGAAAGTGTCCTGTCCCCTTTCACAAGGCACACCTGGGGACTGAGATGTAAGGAGGTGCCGGTGGGAGGGTCATTGGTCGGGAACAAGCATGTATCGCAGAGACCCGAAAACCAGCGGGCCAACGAGAGGCGCGCACGCATTCACAGTGGAGCTGTGCTGGGGCAACGGCTGGCGTGCCTGCAGAGAGGGCACAGGTGGCATGCAGGACTTAGGTTCACCATCACGGACTAACCTCATTCCACATTCTATTCTGGACCCCCTGCCGCCCCCCCCCCCCTCCAGATCTCTTTACCCCTCCTCAGACTCCTTCAGCAGCCGGCTGGCAATCCGGATCAGCATACAGTAGGCAAACTGGGACTTCAATCCGGATCTGGTGAATTTGTTCAGCATCTTGGAAACGGCGAGGCGGTCATTTTTTCTCAGGTGGTAGAGCAAACCGAGAGCATGGTACTGCGGATGCGGGGGAAGAAAAAAAAGGATTTATTTTTCCCCCGAAGCTAAGGTGACCGGGGTCAGCTCAAAGCCAGGGAAAGGTCGACGGAGACCTCAACACTAGTAGTGTTAGGGAATGGCTATTGCCTAACTGGTTGGGTTGGCTATATATATAAACCATCAATGCATGTTTGCAGTCAAAATGTAATGTATAGCTTTAAGGCTGTAATGCTGTATTGCATCATACTGTATTCTGATTGGCTAGCTCTGTAGCCAACGTACTTAAGAGGAAGCTTGAATCATGGCTTATTTTTTCTTATTACATTATTATTGCTACCTCTGCTCCTCTCTGCCTGTTCTCTCTGCTTGATCATTGCTATTTGTTATTTTCTACTGTTTTACTGATTGTTTTACCGCTGTACTTGTTCCTGTTTGCAACTCCAAAAAGAACTGTTTTATTGCATATGACTACAACAACTGGTAAGAAGACTTTGTTCTTGGAATATCCCTGGATTGACAATTTAACTATCTTTATCTGTGTATGACCTGGATTGTTTATTGGACTTTGCTTTGCTTTTTCCTAAAAGTAAAAGAATATCACAACTCAGTGCGTCTGTGTATTGACAGTGCTTATTCACAATCACCCTCAGCCGTTTCTCATGTGCACAACCTTGCTACTCAAGGGTTACTCTGCGCATATTTCTTAACAGGTAGCAACTTCTTTTCATGCGTGCCTCCAAGGGGGAGGGGGATTGACCTAGAACAGGGGTGTCAAACTCGATTTCACTGAGCGTCGCATCAGGGTTGTGGTTGACCTCGGGGGGAAGGGGAGGCATTCTGGGCGTGGCCAGCTCAACGTCACTCGTGGCCGGGGGGGTGCCTGTGATGCAGAGCTGTATCACATACTGTAACAACCGGTTTGCCCACAACCGAAAATGTGAGCGCATGCGCGTAGCAGCAAACACAGGGCGATTATACAAGACGGGATAGCGCCAGGGCAAGTGGGCGGGCCCAGACGATGGTCAGAACTATCGGTTCGCCCGAACCGGTTTGAACTGCTGTGGTAGCCTGGGTGGGGCTGGGAGGATCCATTGTCTCCAGCAGACAAAGGCGAGACCAGGGCGAGCGCCAAACCCTTTCCCACCAGAGAAGTGGTCCGGTCCGGATGGCCGCCACCATGTTGCAGATCAGCGTCCGGTCGAGGTGCCGTGGGATGGTCCTTTGCTGTTTCCAGGGCGGCTTCACGAGCCGGTTCTAACCACCTCGCGGGCCAGATCCCCGACACCCCTGATCTAGACTGTGTGAACACAGCTCCTCCACTACTGACTTCGTGATGACAGCCCGCACGATTCTTAGCCAGTGTTGCGCTATCTGAGAATGATGACAGATGTAAACCAACAAGAAAGAGCTCTGATGGCGCGGTGGTTAGAATGAAGTATTGCAGGCTAACTCCACCCACTGCCAAGAGTTCGATTCTGACTGGCTCAAGGTTGACTCTGTCACTGCATTTTTTGTATTTAAAAGACGAGCTCATATTTTTGGACTTTCAGACTTTCCGTAGCTTGCCAAGTTTTCTTATCAGTAAGCTAAACTACGCATGTTCGCATTCCTTCACTTTTTCTTCTATCTTTCTTTGTTCTCCTGCCAAGAGTTCCGGCCGCAGAGAGGTGGCTGACAGGAACGTTGCCAAAATGTAATTATTTTAGATAGTGAGATGTTTTATTTTCTTTATAACAAATACATGAGTTTTTCTTAGAAAAAAAATCTTCGGGGTTTATTTTCTTAACGTATACAAGAGGAAAATGCCACGATCCACGTCTCTAAATCAAGGTGCGATTACCCGAAAACAGAATGGGATTAATTACCACCCTGACAGACTTGGCCTTCCATCCTTCCGAGGTGGGTAAAATGAGGACCCAGATGGTTGGGGGTAAAAGGCTGACTCTGTAAACCGCTTAGAGAGGGCTGGAAAGCACTGTGAAGCGGTATATAAGTCTAAGGGCTATTGCTAACTATATCTATCCATCACCTACCTATCTTCTCTCTCTCTCTCTCTCTCTCCCCTCCCTACTCTCTCTCTCAACATCCATCTATTTATCTATCTATCCATCTGTCTATCATCATCCATATATTTACCTATCATCCATCCATCCATTTATCTAAGCTGTGGTGGCGCAGTAGTTAGAATGGAGTATTGCAGGCAAATTCTGCTGAGTGCCAGCAGTTTGATTCTGAGTGGCTCAAGGAAGGAAGGAAGGAAGGTAGGTAGGAAGGAAGGAAGGAAAGGTCCTAGTGGCACAGTGCTTAGAATGCAGTGTTGCAGACTAGCTCTGCCCACTGCCAGCAGTTCGATTCTAAGTAGCCCAAGGAAGGAAGGAAGGAAGGAAAGGCCCTAGTGGCACAGTGCTTAGAATGCAGTGTTGCAGACTAGCTCTGCCCACTGCCAGCAGTTTGATTCTGAGTACCGAAGGAAGGAAGGAAGGAGGAAGGAAGGAAGGAAGGAAGGAAGGAAGGAAGGAAGGGCCCTAGTGGCACAGTGCTTAGAATGCAGTGTTGCAGACTAGCTCTGCCCACTGCCAGGAGTTTGATTCTGAGTAGCAGAAGGAAGGAAGGAAGGAAGGAAGGAAGGAAGGAAGGAAGGAAGGAAGGAAGGAAGGGCTCTAGTGGCACAGTGCTTAGAATGCAGTGTTGCAGACTAGCTCTGCCCACTGCCAGCAGTTCGATTCTGAGTAGCCCAAGGAAGGAAGAAGAAGGAAAGGAAGGAAGGAAGGAAGGAAGGAAGGAAGGAAGGAAGGAAGGAAGGAAGGAAGGAAGGAAGGAAAGGCCCTAGTGGCACAGTGCTTAGAATGCAGTGTTGCAGACTAGCTCTGCCCACTGCCAGCAGTTCGATCCTGACCGGCTCAAGGTTGACTCAGCACTTTCCATCTTTTCCGTGGTGGGTAAAATGCAGACCCAAATTGTTGGGGGCAAGAGGCTGACTCTGTAAACCGCTTAGAGAGGGCCGTGAAGGACTGTGTATATAGGTCTACATGCTATTGCTATCTGCAGAGAAGGCAGTCAAGTGAAGGAAGGTAGACTGAGCAGGGTGGCCTCCACAAAGATTCCAATTTTCAGAGTGGATCCCGAAAGCTTCCCAGATCCCTCCCCTGCTGTGGGGAATCCCTACCTGAACCATGACGTTGTCGCTGGAAGCAGCTTCTTGGGCTTCGTTGATCCACCTCTTCACCACATCGTAGTTGATCTTCATCATATGCTGGGAAAGAGGGCCAAGGATCAAGAATCTCAGCTGCGGCTCTCGCCAAAACTCATCTCGGTTAATACCCAATCCTGAATCGTGTCAATCAAGTGATGTGCTTTGAGGGGGGCGGGGTTTTTAAGAGTCTGGCAGTTGAAGGACAGGAGGGATTCCTCTGGAAGGGTTGCATCTCCAAACCAGGAGGACATTGTATCTGACATACAAGATTAACACGTGAAGCATTTGTACATTTTATAAGGTCTTGGTAAGGCCACACTTGGAATCCTGCAACAAGTTTTGGTCGCCACGATGTAAAAAAAAAAAAAAATGATGTTGAGACTCTGGAAAGAGTGAAGAAAAGAGCAACCAAGATGATTAGGGGCCTGGAAGCTAATATATATATATAAATGGTTGCTGGAATTGGGTAGGTCTAGTTTAATTCCAAAGGGACGCGGTGGCTCAGTGGCTGAGCTTGTCGATCGAAAGATCGGCAGTTCAGCGGTTCGAATCCCGAGTGCCGCGTAACGGAGTGAGCTCCCGTGACTTGTCCCAGCTTCTGCCAAACTAGCAGTTCGAAAGCACGTAAAAAAATTGCAAGTAGAAAAAACAGGGACCACCTTTGGTGGGAAGGGAACAGCGTTCCCTGCGCCTTTGGCATTGAGTCATGCCGGCCACGTGACCACGGAGACGTCTTCGGACAGCGCTGGCTCTTCGGCTTTGAAATGGAGATGAGCACCTCCCCCTAGAGTCGGGAACGACTAGCACATATGTGCAAGGGGAACCTTTACCTTTAGTTTAATTCCAAGTGTGGGCTTACCAAAGCATCATATTGTGGTATTAACCCTTCATGTGATCTTGATTCTATCCCTCTATTAATGCAGCCAAGGATTGCGCTGGCTTTTTGGGCTGCCGCTGCACACGGTTGGCTCATATTTAAGTGATTGTTCACCAGGACTCCAAGATCCCTCTCACAATTACTACAATTGAGCCAGATACCACCTATGCCTGGAGTTCCCAACCTTTTCTATACCCCACGCCCCCAAGAACGCTTCTGATATATCCTCGCACCCCTTAAAAAAATAATTAAATGCATATAATTATACATATACCAGGGGTGAAATCCAGCAGGTTCTGACAGGTTCTGGAGAACCGGTAGCGGAAATTTTGAGTAGTTCGGAGAACTGGCAAATACCACCTCTGGCTGGCCCCAGAGTGGGGAGGGAATGGAGATTTTGCAGTATCCTTCCCCTGGAGTGGGATGGGAATGGAGATTTTGCAGTATCCTTCCCCTGGAGTGGGATGGGAATGGAGATTTTGCAGTATCCTTCCCCTGCCCCGCCCATCAAGCCACACGATGCACACCAAGCCACACCCACAGAACCGGTAGTAAAAAAAATTGGATTTCACCACTGACATATACCCTATAATTTTGAAACTTCTAAACCCAAGTTTCGGCACCCCCCAGAATATTGTCTTGCACCCCCAGTTGGGAACCCCTGACCGATGCTGCACCTGTGCATTTGGTTTTTCTTGCCTAAATCTAAAAACCTTCCTTTTCTCTACAGTAGTGGCCAAAATTGTGGAAACCTTTTGGGGAAAGTGTATTTTGGAGGTTTGATGGCTAATAACACCACTTTTTTTCGGAGTTTCAAGATAATCCTATTCCACTGCTGGAATGGCCTGGGAAGAGCCAAGACCTTCACCCAATGGAAAATCTATGGAGCCAACTAAAGAAACTTGTTAGTCAGAAGCGACCCAGCAATAAAACCCAGTTAATAGAAGCCAACATTCAATCTTGGTTTATTTATTTATTTATTTATTTATTTATTTATTTATTTATTATATTTCTATACCGCCTTTCTCCCGTAGGACTCAAGGCGGTGTACAGTCAAGAAAAATATAGACACACAAACATCATAAAATTGCTAATTACTAATTAAAATTAGTTTCACATGATAACAGCTGCAGAACTCAAAGACTTGGTTCACTCCATGGAAAGACGTTGTAAGGCCATAAATTCATGCTAAAGATTACCCAACTAAGGATTAATTGACATGGGGATCATTTTTGTATATCTCGTTTTTTCTAGGGTGATCATTTTTGTATATCTCCTTTTTTCTACATGTTTCACTTTTCTTCTTCATACTGTAACTGCTATTCTAATAGCAAATCCTTCATAAAAGTGATTGCATTCTTGATTCAATTATCTTTCCGTTGATGTATAATTTTATGGTACTACTCCAAAAAAAAAAAAAAGTGGTGCTATTAGCTAGTTTTAGAAAATACACTTTTCCCAAAAGGCTTCCACAATTTTGGCCACTCCTGTACACTAAATTTCGTTTTGTTAGGTAGGGCCCAGTTGTTAAATGAATCACGTGTTCGTTAAGCAAATCCGGCTTCCCTCGTCGACTTTGCTTGTTCTCGGTTGTCGAGAACTCGAATTTACCTCACGGGTGCGAGAGCTCTAACCTTCTTTTACTTACCAAGGATGATACCAAGGCAGAACTGGACACACTGGGGACTTTGTCGACGATGGCTTGCTTCATGTATCGCTCGATGGCCTGGAGCATCGTTCCCTGGGAAAGCGAGAAGGGATGGAGGTGAGACAAGACTTTCAAATCGCACGTTGGCCAGAAATGAAAGAAGACGGGATTACGTTCACTTGAGGCTCTTTAGTACTTCACAAAACAAAACGGAGTAATTTTTTTGGCCGAGGTGATTCACTGTCTGATTTAAAAGATAAGTTTCTAGTCCTTCAATTTTGCGGAAACGAGCCTCTAAACCGGGGGGAATCTAAACTTGGCAACTTGTGGATTTCAATTCTGGTTCTGCAACCCAACAAGACAGACAGAGACTTCAGAGGATCATTAGAACTGCAGAAAAAACAATGGCTACCAACCTGCCTTCCATGGAGGACCTGTAGACTGCATGAGTCAAAAAGAGGGTTGTGAAAATATTTATGGACCCCTCACATCCTGAACATAAAGTGTTTCAACTCCTACCCTCAAAACGACGCTATAGAGCACTGCACACCAGAACAACTAGACACAAGGACAGTTTTTCCCCGAACGCCATCACTCTGCTAAACAAATAATTCTCTCAACACTCTCAAACTATTTACTAAGTCTGCACTACTATTAATCTTCTCGTCGTTCCCATCATCCATCTCCTCCCACTTAGGACTGTATGACTGTAACCTTGTTGCTGGTATCCTTACGATTTATATTGTTTCCTAGTATGATTCGATTGCTTATTTGTACCCTATGACTATCATTAAGTGTTGCGCCTTATGATTCTTGATGAACGTATCTTTTCTTTTATGTACACTGAGAGCATATGCACCAAAGACAAATTCCTTGTGTGTCCAATCACACTTGGCCAATAAAAAAATCAATTCTATTTTATTCTATTCCCAGAACTCCCGAGCGTGCAATTCAGTGTTTCCCACCGTTGGCCATTTTAAGATGGGTGGACTTCAACTCCCAGAATTCTCCCAGCCAGCCATATTGGCTGGCTGGGGAATTCTGGGAGTTGAAGTCCACAAGTTGACAAGTTTGGAGCTCCCTGCTATAAACCAGCATTTCCCAACCTCAGCCATTTTAAAAATAACCGGACTTCAGCTCCCAGAATTTCCCAGCTGGTCATGTGAAGTCAAAAGACAGTGAAGTTGGGGGTAAGATCTCAGAATACCCTCCCAGCATTCAGCCGGGGTTCAAAATCTCATCCGTGAACCAAAACATCCCCTCATTTTCATCATCCTCTTTTACAATTGGAAAAATCCTGTACTCACATCCGTGATCCGACACAGGGCTCGAATTGCCGGGCCTCGGTAAACGTCTTCTTTCCCCGTCATATCTTTAGTTAGGCTAGGACACAGAACGACAAAACTCGTATTAATCTATGGAGATGCTCAGTCACCCAGGTCAAGGTGCTTTTTTTTTTTCAAGAGGCAACTGGACTTTCTGGTTTTTCTCTGAAGACATTTTGCTTCTCATCCGAGAAGCTTCCTCAGATCTGACTTGGATGGTGGGGAACGGAAGGATTGATATTCCTTGCAGAGAGCTGGATATTTGCATCCTTTTAGAGGGTCGTTGAGGCCACTTGGCGGTTGCTCTGTGTCCTCAGGGTCACCTGAGTGCTGCAAATGGGTGTGGAGCCTTCCTGGAATCTACAGGGCAGAAAACATCCAGCGGAAAGCACAGCTCCACAACACAATCCTTCCAGGAGTTCCAAGAAGGCTCCACACCCATTTTGCACTACTCAGATGCACATAGACAAACTTCCAAGTTGTGAATGCTCAAACACTGGAAGTTTTTAAGAAGAGGTTGGATAACCATTGGTCTGAGTGGTGTAGGGTTTCCTGCCTGGGCAGGGGGTTGGACTAGAACACCTCCAGGGTCCCTTCCAACTCTGTTTATTCTCTTCTTTTCTCTCTTCTCTTCTCTTCTCTTCTCTTCTCTTCTCTTCTCTTCTCTTCTCTTCTCTTCTCTTCTCTATTTTATTCTCCCCTATCCCCCATCCTATTCTCTATTATTGTTCTGTTCTGTTCTAGTCTATTCTAGTCTACTCTATTCTAATATTCTATATTCTATATCCTATCTCCTATCCTATCCTAATATTCTATATTCTATTCTATCCTAATATTTTAATATTCTAATATTCTACTATCCTATCCTATCCTAATATTCTATATTCTATATCCTATATTCTATCCTATCCTTATTCTATATTCTATCCTATTCTAATATTTTAATATTCTAATACTCTAATACTCTAATACTCTAATACTTTAATATTCTATATCCTATCCTATCCTATCCTATCCTATCCTATCCTATCCTATCCTAATATTCTATATTCTATATTCCATTCTCTATTCTCTTCTCTTCCATTCCCATTCCAGCTGAAATGCCGATGCTTCCAGCCCCAGAATCAAAACCAGATACCTGCTGGTGACGATGATCACGTCTTCTGAGATGTTGGCCATCTCTTTGATGGTAAGGTAACACATTCTCCTTAAGGTTTGCTGCGGAAAGACGACAGTGAAAGTTGCAGTTTCCAAGGGGTTGGTTGCTGAGCCACTGCTGTTTTTTATCATGGTGGTCCAGAAGACCTCTCTAAGGGCCTTTGAGCTTGGGGGTCCAACCGCAAGTCACTTTAAGACTTGTGGACTTCATCTCTCAGAATTCCCCAGCCAGCCATGTAAGGCTGGCTGGGGAATTCTGGGAATTGAAGTCCACCGGTTTTTGAAACTAGCTCTCCAATTTGTTAAATTTCTGCTTAGCCCAACTTCATGGCAGGCTGGGGAATTCTGGGAGATGAAGCCCACAAGTCTTGAAGTGGTTATGGTTGGAAACAGTGGTGAAATCCAATTTTTTTTACTACTGGTTCTGTGGGCGTGGCTTGGTGGGCGTGGCAGGGGAAGGATACTGCAAAATCCCCATTCCCACCCCACTCCAGGGGAAGGATACTGCAAAATCCCCATTCACCCCACTCCAGGGGAAGGATACTGCAAAATCCCCATTCCCACCCCACTCCAGGGAAAGGATACTGCAAAAACTCTATTCCCACCCCACTCCAGGGGAAGGATACTGCAAAATCCCCATTCCCACCCCACTCCAGGGGAAGGATACTGCAAAATCCCCATTCCCATCCCACTCCAGGGGAAGGATACTGCAAAATCTCCATTCCCACACCACTCCAGGGGAAGGATACTGCAAAATCCCCATTCCCTCCCCACTCCAGGGGAAGGATACTGCAAAATCCCCATTTCCCACCCCACTCCAGGGGAAGGATACTGCAAAATCCCCATTCCCATCCCACTCCAGGGGAAGGATACTGCAAAATCTCCATTCCCACACCACTCCAGGGGAAGGATACTGCAAAATCTCCATTCCCTCCCCACTCCAGGGGAAGGATACTGCAAAATCCCCATTCCCTCCCCACTCCAGGGGAAGGATATTGCAAAATCCCCATTCCCTCCCCACTCCAGGGGAAGGATACTGCAAAATCTCTATTCCCACCCCACTTTGGGGCCAGCCAGAGGTGGTATTTGCCGGTTCTCTGAACTGCTCAAAACTTCCGCTACCGGTTCTCCAGAACCTGTCAGAACCTGCTGGATTTCACCCCTGGTTGGAAACCCCTGCTTTCAAGGAAGGACGCCCCTAAGGACGCTGCCAGCGGCCCCCAACCCAGGAACAGGAAAACAAGGAGAAACCACTGAAGAAATCACTCACATCGTTGGACTGGAATAATCTTGTCATTGCAAAGAAGGCTTCGGTGGCTTCCGTTGTCCCGAAATGCTCACCCTAAAAAAACGACACGCAAACAGCGGACACTTTAGGCCTTCAACCGCTAGACTCAATTTCTCCTTTCTCCTGGTCTCAAGTTATGGGATCGCCTCACAAAGGAAACCAAAACAGTTAATTTCACACCAGCTTCTGGGCTGCCGTAGGTACCCACTATGCTAATGATGATACACATATCAAACTTCAAGAATATTAGTCTAAAGGTAAAGATGACCTTGGATCTGTTTCACTTCCTTTTGATTTAATGGACCCGTCTAGGCAGGTGTTTCAGGGGTAGAAAAAACAGCCTTCCCTGGGCTCCGGAGGCCCTGAACGGGCCCATTTCCTTGTGCCCCCTCTTAAAATGGGAATGCTGGCCCAGTTCCTAATTTCAGGGAGGCTGCAATAATTCCCCCACCCAGAGTCACCTTCTCCTCCCCAGAAGCTGGCCCAGACGGAGAAGCGCAACCCCGCAGCCGTCCTGCCCTGGACCGGCTGCATTTACCTGGTTCAGCAAGTAAAGGATCTTGGTTAGGATGTGCAGACATCTTCGTGGGTTGATGGGCGTCTCGTTGAAAATACGAGCCTAGGGGAGGGAAAGAGAAAAATCCAGGACTTTAGACCGGAGGAAACGCTACTTCGGATGAAGGAACAGTAAGAGTTGAACTCGGGGAAGACGGGGTCTCCTCTCAGTGATGTTTCTCGTGGGACTCTGGGTCCAATTCTGGACCCCATTCTTTGAAACAGCCGTTGATACACTGGAGTTCAGAGAAGGGCAGTCTAGATCAGGGGTGTCAAACTCATAGCCCTGGAAACAGTGAAGAATCGGCTCGCGGTGCCCTCTGCCAGTGAAAACGGAGATCGGGAGGGCTGCGAGCAACCCCTGCAGCTCCATTTTCGGCCGCGACGGCCTCCTGCCAACAAAAACAGAGCTCGGCAGCCCGTTTTCCTCTGGCAAAGCGCTCAGGCTACCGACAGACGCCCCCGACACGAGTGACGTCAAGCTGGCTGTGCCCACCCTGGCCATTCCCACCTCGGCCCCCGAAGGTCAAACACAACCGTGATGCGGCCCTCAGTGAAATTGAGTTTGACGCCTCTGGTCTAGATGATCAGGGGAGAGAAGGTAAAGTCCACTGAGAAGGAACTGAGTATGTTTAACTTGCCGAAGAGAAGATTGCTCTCCCAATTTCTAAAGGACAGCCAGTTGCGTCTAGCGGTAAAGGCACCAGGCTACAAAGCAGGAGACTGCGAGTACAGGTAGTCCTCACTTTACGGCCACAACTGAACGCCCAAATGTTCTGTTACTAAGTGAAGCATTTTTTTCAGCGAGTTTTACCACCTTCCTTGCCACAGTTGTTAAGTGAACCGGTCCAGTTATTAAGTTAACACAGTTGTCAAGTGAATCCAGCTTCCCCATGGACTTTGCAAGGTCGCAAAAGGGGATCGTGTGGCACCGGGACCCTGCGACCGTCATAAATATGAGTCAGTTGCCAAGCGTCTGAATTTTGATCATGTGACCACGGGAATGCTGCGACGGTCGTAAGTGTGAAAAACGGTCCTAGGTCACTTTTTTCAGTGCCGTTGTAACTTCGAAGGGTCACTAAACGAACTGTTGTAAGTCGAGGACTACCTGTACTAGTCCCGCCTTAGGCATGAAAGTTGGTTGGGTGATTTTGGGCCGATCACTAGGAGACAGGGAGTTCTAGTCCTGCCTCAGGCATGTATGGCAGCTAGGTAACCTTGGGCCAATCACCAGGAGACTTGAATTCTAGTCCCGCCTTAGGCATGAATGACAGCTAGGTGACCCTGGACCAATCACCAGGAGAGGGTGAGTTCCTTCAAATAACAAGGGGGGAGCCATCACAGAAAAGGCCCTTCTCCGTCCCACAGGCCGACCACCTCAGCAAAGGAGACGAGCAATTACACACGCAAATAAATGAATACCGATCTGTTTGCACACCAACCAGAGACGGATGGCCATAGAGACAGAATCAACAACACAAAATAACGTCAAAGAAGACTCTACCATACCTCTTGGAGGATCGCGCTTTTTTCTAAATGCTGGAAAGGGTTCGAGCCGCTACCTGAAGGAGACAAGAGGACATGATGTGAGCCCAAGACATTTCAAACAAGAGGGATATGCGAAGCTTCCTTAGATACTTCCGTCAATGCCAGGTGAGACCCTCGCATCAAAGGGTCCCACCCCCACAGGGCGGATGCTGCAATGCAATGTGAAAATGCGCAAGAAATAGGAGTCGTACATGAGGGCGATGAGGTAAAACAGGCCTTCTTGGCCTCATGAATTTTTCTTCCCAAGGCTTGAACTACGGAATCATTCATTCATTCATTCATTCATTCATTCATTCATTCATTCAATTTATATGCCGCCCCTCTCCGAAGACCCAGGGCGGCTCACAATACACTCAAAAAATCACTATAAAAACACTTAAAAATTAAAAACATTAAAAACATTAAAACCCATTCACACCATTCATGGCCGGATCTCAGAGCAGGAAGGGACCATGGAGGTCTTCTAGTAACAGGTTAAATGTATCTGGCTTCCCCACTGATTTTCGTCAGAAAGTTACAAAAGACCATCACATGACCTTAGGACACGACAAACATCATAAATATGAACCGGTTGCCAAGCATCCGAATTTTGATCACGTGACCATGGGGAATGCTACAATGGTCCTAAGTGTGAAAATCGGTCATAAGACACTTTTTTCAGGGCCGTTGTAACTTTGAACAGTCCCTGAATGAGCTGTTCTAAATTGAGGACTACCTGTACAAGTATCAGAGGGAATGAGGGATTGCAAGAGCGGCTGGGAAACAGTCACAGTTGGAAATGAAGATCGCGATATACTTCCGGCGATGACGTCATCGTAAAGCGGGCGAGGGAACGGAGCTCTGTACCTGTAACCCAAAATCTCTTTGCCAGGAGCCCTTTAAAGGCAATATCGATCCCGGAGAGATTGGTAAAACAAGGAGGAAACTCTGAAGACGTCGGGGGAAAGGCAATCACCCGAATGGATAGGAGGAACTTTCTTAAACCGGCAGAGGAGAAATCGGCCATAAAGGCCGATCTGGAGCGATGACAGCCACATGAGCAGGAAGCAAAAAGTGAAAAACGACAATCAGGATCGGTGGACGATATAACCCCAGAAAGGAGGTAAGGATTGTTTTGTGGATTGGAGGAGTGGAAAGTGATAGTCTCTAAAGAGAAGGGCAGATTTGCCAGGAAGGCAACGGCGACTAAAAATGGAGTAGAGCAGAGGGACGGAGTCGAATGGTGATAGCAACACGAAGGAATAAAGTAAATTGCTACAGGATTATAAGAAGCGGAGATTGAGGTTTATAAAAATAGACATTTTGAGATGATAAGTGGTGGCCAAGAGATCGTGAAACACTGACTAAAGTATTAAAGACGGGAATATTAAGGATCCTGACACAAAGTGATGGCTAACCTTTTTGCCATCGCGTGCCAGGAAGAGGGGGGGGAGATTCATGCACACGCGTGCCTACACCCATAATTCTATCGCCCCACCTTGCACACGCAATCCCCCCTCCCCCTCGTTCCTGGCACGCGATGGGCCGGTAGGCCCGTTTTTCTTTCTCACCTGGCTCCAGATCCTCTCTATGCATCTGGGGAGGGCAAAAACAGCCTTCCCCACCCCCTCAAAATGGCCCATTTCCCAACTCCCGGTTCGACAGGAAGTGACATTTTTTGCTGTCCCCAGCCTCCAGAGCCTCTCTTTTCGCCCTCCCCAGATGCAAAGAGAGGATCTGGAGCAGGTGAGAAAGAAAAACAGGCCTTCCCCACCCCCACCACAGGCCCTCCGGAGGCATGAAACAGCCTGTTTCCTACTTCTGGTGGGTCCAGAAGGCCTGAAAATCTGCTGGCCGGCACACACATGCGCGCCAGAGCTGAGCTGGCGTGCCCACTGATATGGCTACACGTGCCACCTGTGCCATAGGTTCACCATCACAAGTATAAGGACTATACGGAATTTAGAAAAGCAAAGAGGGAAAGAAGGATTGCGAGAGCGGCTGGGAAACTGTCACAGTTGAAAATGAAGCTCGCGTGACTGCACACAGCAACCAGCAGGACCGAAGCAGCCACCATATTCCCCAAATTTCATTCCCTGAGAAATAACAGATCCCAAATTTGGGGCACACGCTCCCATGGGAGATACCTTGGTTATGACGTACTGTTTCACCTGGTGAAAGGTCATGACAATGAGAGTTTTAGTAATACGTTGCCTGGTAATGTTTGCCACGCAAGGACCTTGTGAGCCCCAAACACTTGGAGGTAAGGTAGTTGTGGATGGCCTCTAAACCTGGGGACCATCACTGCAGACGTGAAGTGAGCCTGGCTTCCCCGTTGACTTTGCCCGTCAGGTCGCAAAAAGGGGATCACGGGACGCCGGGACACTGCAACCGTCATAAATACGAACCGGCTGCCAAACTTCCGAATGTAAATCACGTGACCGTGGAGAGGCTGCAACGGTCGTTAAGTGTGAAAAATGATCTCAAGTCACTTTCATCCAGGGCCGCCGTAACTTTGAAACGGTCACTAAATAGAACTGTTGTTAGTTGAGGGCCACCTTTATAAGTTGAGGACCCCATGAATTCTGGGAGTTGAAATCCACCCATCTTCGAAGATGCCGTGACTGGGGATCGCCTGTATAAGGGGGTTGGACTAGATGACCTCCAAGGTCCCTTCCACCCCTAGGATTTAAATTAATGGGCTTTTTCCTCCATTTCCCCCCCACCCCAAGGCAACAGCCTTGAGTGGTGGGGTCCGTTCAGCCCCCACACTCCCAGCTTCCCCTAGCCCCGCCCCTTGCCCAGAGAGACACACCTGTAACCTGCGTTTCCCACCTATTCGGGGAGGGGGCGTCATTGCTGGTTGCTAAGTAACACACCTGAGAAACGCACAGAGGCAACGCAGGGAACGCTCAGCCCAGGGGGGACCCCCAGGAGCCCCTTGACCCAGAGGGCCCAATCTGCTGACCCGCTTTGCATGGCCCCCAACCCCCCCAACCCGCAAAAGCAGCGCCCGTCCAGACGTGCAAATCAAAGCTGGGTTTATGCCAGTCAACGCGCAGGGGGGGGATTACTAAGAGGGAACAGCCTCCTCTCTCTTCCCCTACTTCTCTGGCCACGCCCTCTCTGGCCACGCCCACCTAACCGCTTCCAACCTCTCAGGATAGGATGCGTGGGCCACGCCCCCCAGGGGGCGGAGCCGATAGGTCTCTCAGGGAACAACGGGACTTACAGCCCCGGAGGAGAAAAAAGGCTCCTCAAATCTGCCCAGCAACCGCTTCGAGTTGAATCTCAGCGGTGGGAGGGGGGAGCGCTCCTACCGGACTCCTCATCTTTCTTGTCGAACTTCTTGATCATGGCGACGGCAGCGGCCGGTTTGGCTCCTCGCCGCTCGATTCGGCGTCCCCCGCTCGGCCCGCGGACAGGAAATCCCGCCCCGTCACCGGTCGCCGCCCGGCCAACCTTCGGCGACGTCAGCGGCTCGCGGGGATGACGCTCCAAGCGGTGGGATCGGCCTCCCTGGTAACGTCACACGCGCGTCTCGGTTTTTTTGCCTATTTGCATGATCCCCGCCCAACTCTTTTCCACGCCCACTCGCCATGAAGCAGCGCGGTGGCTTTTCGGAGAGGAGCCATAGGCGCCCCCTGCAGGTGGCCTTTGGTTTATTACCAGTGTTTCTCTCTAGCTTGGCAACCTTGATTTATGGACTTCAACTCCCAGAGTCCCTTAGACAGCATGGCTGGCTGGGGATTCTGGGAGTTGAAGTCCACTCATCTTAAAACATGGTGGCTGGGGAATTCTGGGAGTCCACCCATCTTAAACCCTGCTTGCTGGGGAATTCTGGGAGTTGAAGTCCACCCATCTTAAAACATGGTGGCTGGGGAATTCTGGGAGTTGAAGTCCGCCCATCTTAAACCCTGCTGTGGGAATTCTGGAGTTGAAGTCCACCCATCTTAAACCCTGCTGGCTGGGGAATTCTGGGAGTTGAAGTCCAACCATCTAAGCAGGCTGGCTGGGGAGTCTGGGAGTTGAAGTCCAGCCATCTTAAAACATGGTGGCTGGGGAATTCTGGGAGTTGAAGTCCAGCCATTTTAAAACATGGTGGCTGGAGAATTCTGGGAGTTGAAGTCCAGCCATCTTAAACCCTGCTGGCTGGGGAATTCTGGGAGTTGAAGTCCAGCCATCTTAAAACATGGTGGCTGGGGAATTCTGGGAGTTGAAGTCCAACTATCTTAAACCCTGCTGGCTGGGGAATTCTGGGAGTTGAAGTCCAACTATCTTAACCCTGCTGGCTGGGGAATTCTGGAGTTGAAGTCCAACTATCTTAAACCTGCTGGCTGGGGAATTCTGGGAGTTGGAGTCCAGCCATCTTAAAACATGGTGGCTGGGGATTCTGGGAGTTGAAGTCCACCCATCTTAAACCCTGCTGGCTGGGGAATTCTGGGAGTTGAAGTCCCCCATCTTAAAAGTGCTGGCTGGGGAACTCTGGGAGTTGAAGTCCAGCCATCTTAAAACATGGTGGCTGGGAAATTCTGGAGTTGAAGTCCACCCATCTTAAACCCTGCTGGCTGGGGAATTCTGGGAGTTCATACAGTGACTTCAAACGGTCACTAAATGTTGTAAGTCAAGGACTAGTTATACCTGAAACTGTTAAAGAGGAAAATAGGATAAGTAGAGTGTCTGCAGTAGAACTATTTCACTTTTCTGTGGGGCAAAGGAACACCCTTGTCAGAATCTGGGAGACCCCATTGCTACATCGGAAAAAAGCCCTCCTCCTACCACAAGTGTCGTGGAGACCCAGTGGTTAGAATGCAGTATTGCAGGCAAACTCTGCCGACTGCCAGCAGTTCGATCCTGACCGGCTCAAGGGTGACTCCGCCTTCCATCGTTCCAAAGTCGCTCAAACGAGGACCCAGATTGTGGAGGACAATAGGCTGACTTTGTAAAGCGCTTAGAGAAGGGCTGCAAAACACGGTGAAGCGGTTACATCAGTCAAAGTGCTATTGCTATTTCAACTTTTTAATGACGTACAAAGAAGCGGATTATTGCATCTCATAATAATATCGAGGGATTTCCCCCTCCACGATTGTTCAAGCGGTACAGAAAATGATTTACAACAGCCATACATAATGCCTTTTGTCAAACATCGAAAATTCCCCAATCCTCACTCGAGCGTTAAATTTTTTTTTTTTTTTTAAACATTCTTACTAGGGATAATTTTTTAAAAGGGGGGGGGGGGGCTACAGAGGGGGTGATTTCTAGCCAAGTACAACGTGTTCTATAGTCCTTGAGGAATAGAAATATCTTTTTCGGCAGGGTGGTCAGATCGACCTGTAGGTTTCTTGGTTACGCCCAAATTTTTTGGGTCTAAAAATCTTCCTCGGCCTCCTCTTCCTCTCCGTCGGCATAATCTCGGCCGACTTCTTCGTAATCCTTCTCCAGAGCCGCCAGGTCCTCCCGGGCTTCCGCGAACTCTCCTTCCTCCATGCCCTCGCCCACGTACCAATGGACGAAAGCCCGCTTGGCGTACATCAGGTCGAATTTGTGGTCCAGACGGGCCCAGGCCTCGGCGATCGCCGTGGTGTTGCTGAGCATGCAGACGGCCCGCTGAACCTTAGCCAGGTCTCCGCCGGGCACCACGGTGGGCGGCTGATAATTGATGCCCACTTTGAAGCCGGTCGGGCACCAGTCGACAAACTGGATGGACCGCCGGGTTTTGATGGCCGCGATGGCCGCGTTGACGTCCTTCGGCACGACTCTCCCCGGTACAAGAGGCAACACGCCATGTATTTGCCCCGCCGCGGGTCGCACTTCACCATCTGGTTGGAAAATTCAAAGCAGGCGTTGGTGATCTCCGGCACCGAGAGCTGCTCGTGGTAGGCTTTTTCGGCCGAGATGATGGGGGCGTAGGTGGTCAAAGGGAAGTGGATGCGGGGGTACGGCACCAGGTTGGTCTGGAATTCGATCAGGTCGACATTCAGGGCCCCGTTAAATCTCAAGGAAGCCGTGACGGAGGAGACAATCTGCCCGATCAGACGGTTGAGGTTCGTGTAGGTTGGACGTTCGATGTCCAGGTTTCGGTTGCAAATGTCGTAGATGGCTTCGTTGTCCACCATGAAGGAACAGTCCGAGTGCTCCAGGGTGGTGTGAGTCGTCAGGATGGAGTTGTAAGGCTCCACCACGGCGGTGGAGACCTGCGGGGCGGGATACCACGAGAATTCCAGCTTGGACTTCTTGCTGTATTCGACCGAGAGCCGTTCCATCAGGAGAGACGTAAAGCCGGATCCGGTGCCACCACGAAGCTGTGGGAAGACCAGGAAACCTTGAAGGCCGCTGCACTGGTCAGCCTGCGTTGACGAGAGAAAATGGGGTTATTGGTGCCATCTCAAGACAATCTACCCCAGTGTTGTGGTTCGCCCACAGCCTGTGGAGTCGGACAGCAATGAGGCTGAGGAAGAACATGGGCCAATCCTGGAGGCTGGGGAAGGATGAGGGCTCTGCATCGGAGGCAGAGATGGGGGGCAGGGCCATCGGGGAGTGATGCACGGACTCCGGAGCCTCCAGAGGCTGATAGTAGAGAGGCAGAGGAACAGGAGGAGCCTGTTCCTAGTGCACGTATGAGAAGAGCTGCCAGAAGGCAAGAGCAGCTAAAGCAAAGAGGACGCCTCAGGAGTAAGGCCAGGAGACGATTGGCCCCTCCCATAAGGCTTCCAGCTGGCTGGAGAATTCTGGGAGTTGAAGTCCACAAGTCTTAAAGCTGCCAAGTTTGGGGACCCCTGCTGTGGAGCATGGGTCTCAAATTTGCCAAGGTTGGGAATCCCTGCTCTTTTAACTGGCTGGGGGGGGGGGAATTCTGGGAGTCGAAGTCCACAAGCCTCAAAGTTGCCAAGGTTGGGAAATAGAAGTTTATTCCCGCAGGAGACACTGGCGCGAAAAGCCACGTTCGGCCATGCCAGCGAAGACTTACGCAACTTAAACTTTTGGGAATTTCACCCTTTCGCCCTAAAAAAAAAGCTTCAAATTGCAATCGTTAAAGGGGAGCGGGGGGGGGGGGGGGAAAACGACCCGGTCACTTGCCATTTTGCGAATCCTGCCCAGGACGGTGTCGATGATTTCTTTGCCGATGGGTGTAGTGCCTCGGGCGTAATTGTTAGCAGCGTCTTCTTTACCGCTGATCAGCTGCTCTGGGTGGAACAGGGAGTGGTAGGTTCCTGTGCGGATCTCATCTGCCCAGAGAGAGAGAGAGAGAAGAATGAGCTGATGGGCCCCATCCACCAAAAGTCCCGTTTTGGAAATTGCCAGTCGACTAGCCACAGGGAAAGGTTAAAATAAGACCCTGTCTTATATTTTTTTGAACCCCGGAATAAACGCTTGGCCTTATTTTCGGGGAGGTCTTATTATTTTGGGGCGCGAGATGGGGCTCCTCTTGCCGTTTTAACTGATTTCTAGCTCTGCGTTTAAATATTTAAATATTTTAAATATTCTATTCTATTCTATTCTATTCTATTCTATTCTATTCTATTCTATTCTATTCTATTCTATATTATATTGCATTTAATGCAATATTATTATTTTGGGGCACGAGATGGGGCTCCTCTTGCCGTTTTAATTGATTTCTAGCTCTGCGTTTAAATATTTAAATATTTTAAATATTCTATTCTATTCTATTCTAAGTTATATTGCATTTAATGCAATATTATTATTTTGGGGCGCGAGATGGGGCTCCTCTTGCCGTTTTAATTGATTTCTAGCTCTGCGTTTAAATATTTAAATATTTTAAATATTCTATTCTATTCTATTCTATTCTATTCTATTCTATTCTATATTATATTGCATTTAATGCAATATTATTATTTTGGGGCGCGAGATGGGGCTCCTCTTGCCGTTTTAATTGATTTCTAGCTCTGCGTTTAAATATTTAAATATTTTAAATATTCTATTCTATTCTATTCTATTCTAAGTTATATTGCATTTAATGCATACATTTTATTCGAGAAATAAATACACATTTCACGAAAAGAAAGGAAACCCTTCATGAAAAGCTTTCTCAAGACATAAATAGATTTACGCAGCTTTTCATGGCACCAGGCAAGAAACATTAAGGAAAGCTGCAGTTCAGGGATTTCCCACCAGCAATAGTGTATTTTTCTTCTTCTTCTTATTATTATTTTTTTTAAATTAAGCTTGTGATTTCAAAAAAAACCTTCAGGCATGGCCAAGTGCAGATATAATAAACCCCCTTCTGCATTTCCTGCAACTGTTTGGTGGCCGCAGAGAGCTGGGGCTGGCTAACCTTCCCCTCATCTCTAGAGCGAAACAGACCGGACCCTGTTCAGAGCGTGATAGGCGCCAACAGGAAACCTCACGATTGTTGGCTTAAGCCGGGAAGTCCAAACAAGAAGGCGGTAATGGTTTTAAAAAACCACTTCCATCTTTTGTCACGAAAACGGCACAAT